TGTTTATTCTCCCAGGACACCTGTTTTGTCTTTAGCTCTTTAATTCATCAAATAAATTGTTTGACCTATTAGCTCAGCTTAGCACAAAGAGTGAAAAAAGCTTGTTGCAGAGAGACAAGTGATACCACGTTTATAGCTTTATGCTAAACATGAAGGAGGCGATTGGCTTAGCTTAGCATAAGGACTAGAAAGATCTGTCCAACAGTAATGGGACAGTAAATTCAACCTACCAGGGTCCATACCATAACAGGTTTGTATACTCTGTGCAAAAAGTGTAATTGTGACAATTCGCCAATTTATAGGGGCGTATGTACCAGCTTGTTTCCTGGACACGGGCAGTTTCCAGGCAACCAGTTGAAGTCTCTGCTCTGAGCATCGGTAAAAGTGTCATTTTTACACTTTGGTTCTTGTACATATTAACCAAATGAGACACAGCCAAGCTAACTTCCCCCATCACCAGTCTTTGTTCTAAACTGAGCTAACTGGCTGCTGGCTATAGCTTCATATTTAACAAACAGTGGTATAATCTTGGAACCATCCTTTAACATTCACAGCTTAAGCCTTGTTTTTTATGAATAAAGTCATTAGTTACTGCTTTCTTACTTATAAATGGGAGTTGTGTGGTACCAAAAGTTTAATAATTACTGTAGGTTACAGAGGGTTAATCCACAATCAATACTGTATTCGATTTACAGTTGATTCATTAATCTCTCACACCCTTTTATACCCTTTCATGTCACTCTTCTGTTTGATCTGCCCTCCTGGGATTTATAACATTCCCTCTCCTAGGTTTTGAAATAAAAGAAGATGAGACATATTTCTAGCTCATGTTTTTGTAGCAGTCCTGTTCCTGTAGCAGTGCGGGGGACACATGGGAAGGAAAACAAGGTCACCCTGTCCATATCTACTGGCAGACTAAAACAAATGTGTATCCCTTATCACTTGCTGTTGTTGTCCCAAATTAAGTTTAGTCAGGAAGTTGTGTGTCTTGCAGCCAAAAATCTGATTCACTGCCAAATCTTTGTGGTCCGTGTGGCAAGAAACTGCCATTGGCCCTAATAAAATGATCCCACATCCTGCTGTCTTGGTTTTTCTGAAGCTGTTTTCCTTATTACTAATTTGATTGAAATATTTATTTTACCTCCAGATACACAGGGGATACATGTTTTTTTCAGATTGCTTAAAGAAAGAGTGACTCATAGATGATATGATATGATACCAAAGCTTTTTCCTGATCTATACTGTATATAAATGATCTCTTACACAAGAGCAGGCAGCATGATGGTGATGTGCTGTGGCCACTGCTGGGAGTTGAGTTGCACTCTCTGCATGAGACCTAAACAAAACCCTAAATGTCCTGAACAGGGAAACAGTGGTGTTGTAGAGCTGGGTGGAGAATGTTTATATTTGCAGTATGCTACAGAAAATGATTTTCCTCTACTGCTTTAGGGCATCCTGGTGGTAGAGAGGCGGACAGCAGATACATAATATTTTCTCATTTAAGGGGAATTTAGACATCACACCCACACTCTCATTCTTTGTATGTCATCTCCATTTTCTCACCCTGTTGAGGTTCTGATCAACACATTTTTGGGATATAATAGTATAATTGGAAGTAAATCTAGCCTTTTAAGAAACAGCTAATGGTAACATAGCTTGCATTAGTATTGTAAACTGTAAATTTGTGGTTTATTTTTCTTCTTTCCCATGGTCAAGAAAAGTACAGTACTTAAATAGGGAGCGATCAAACAGACCAGAATATGATGCAGTCACATATACCCAGGGCTGTGAATTTCAGCAAATTCATTTTCTGATCACATCTTATCGTTTTACCAAATTATTTGGCATATATTTTTTATTAAAACTTCTGTTGGACACTTTCAAAGAGTTTAATCTTTGCAGTTAATCGTTTTGAACATCAGTGTGAATTTGACTACGTTTGCCATATTTGGTTAGAAATGTATATTGGAATATATCTGTATACACTGTGTAAATGATTTGGACACAACTTTGAGGAAAAGGGGATGTCTTTCTGGAGAATATAGAAAGTCACTGGCTCAAGTGGAATTAGACATGGCTGGGAAAAGGTTACAGAAGTTGTGCTGTGGAATGCACTGAACATCGCTGTAACAGTGTCAGTGTGCCAAAACAGAATTTCTCTTCTTCATTTGTATAGGTGTGACCACCATTATCACTGCTTATTTTAAGTTATACTGTCAGAACTGCTGTTCGTCACCTCTGAGCAGACATCTTATCAGTGATCCCCACAGCTTAACTGTGATCTGTCGCTGTCCACTGATCAATTTGTCATAGCTGCTTCGTTTATCCTGAAAGTGTTACCCAGAATGTATGTACAATAACTCTGCATGAGTACCTTTTTTTAAATGGCAGCTGGTACTCCTACTTTTGTCCCTGTACACTAGGTTTGCTTGTAATGCGTGTTGGAAAAGTGTCAAATTATTGAAGAGAACACTGAAGGCGGGCTGAACATCTATGTCAATATCAGTAGAGGTGCTGTTACTGATTACCGAGTGTTAGAAAAAATAGATAATTTGTAAGATGCCTCATCTATTCCTGGATGGATAACAAGCTTGACATTTACAAAGCACTGTGGCAAACACCTTGGAGGATTTAAATCATTTTAAGGATACCATACATACATGTAGACATCATCTTTGCGTAACAGACTACCACTCACACTCACGGATGCGCACACACGCAAACACTCACGCACATGCATACAGTAAAGATAAAATAAACTTGGCATTTACAGATCGTGTGGTGCCAAGCTCCTCATGGCGCAGATGGTACAAAGAGAGAGTGAGAGAGAGAAGATGGAGGGAGGAACGGATAGAGAAGCAACAAGAGAGGTCTGTGACACCTCTCGTTCTCTGCCCACACTAAAGCTGCCTATTATCTAATCCTTCACACCATGGATAGGGGGATAGTAATGGTCAGAGAGGCAGAGAAAGCAAGACATACAGTAGATGCCAGAAAAGGAGACGGAGAAATCGTCATCATCGCCAGAGTGGCGTTCTGCTGGCAGTAACACAAGGCATCATTGTACTGAGGGAGTGATGGAACTGCTCTCTCTCTCTCTTTCAGGCAAGCCTGACTCAGCCCAACCAAGGCAGCCAAGTTAGAGCCTGGAAATTACCAAACTATAACTTACGTACTGACCACTAAAGAGACTCTAACTCACCATGATTACAGTAGCAGAACAAAAAGTATTTGTGCTCTTGACTGAAAGGGTTGGTTCGCCCGAATGTCTGTCTCCAGTGGTATCTAGCCATGAAGGTAGTTTGGGTTTTATTTGCTCAGGTGTTGGGATAACTGTCCCTGAGATTTCTACTGCCAACCCAGTATAATGGAAATGAATGGAATTTCATTTGTGATGCCAACAGTGTTTAAAAAATTCAAAGGGTACATGTCTTTCCAGAAACAATGTACCCGTCAAACACCAGACCAGGCTGTGAAGAGGTTTCACTGGAACAACATTAACTTTTAAAAATTGAAGGTGGGGTGAACAAACCCTTTAACGTTTGCAAGAAAATGTTTTCACCTGCTTGTCATGGATCTCAATATATGAAAATCTATAACACAGGACATGAATAGAATGTGAATAAGACTTGTTTACAGGCCAGAAATAGCTCTGATTTAAAAATAGAGAGACAGTTTCGAGATACTTGCAAACCAAAGGTGCTAATGATGGTCTGAACGGCAAATGGCACAGTGACATTTTTCACTTTAAATAAATCACCTCTATTTTTGGACCTCCTTTGTGTTCTATAGTCTGTGTCCCTGAGTACGCATTGAGAAAGTCCTGTTCCTGTTCAGGTTTTGGTGAAGCACAGACCCTTCCAATATTAGCTATGAGCAGTTTTGTGATGGCAGATTGACAATGAAAGCTGCAGAAACATTGTCCTGAAATCCTAAAATGTTTGAATGACCCACAAATGATTCTTTCTGAGACAGCGGTTGGAAACTTTAAACAGGGATTTTTACGTTTTTGACAGGCTTTCACCATATGGTAGGAGCATATGAGCAAGACGAACACATCTGGAATAAATTTACAGTTGTAAGCTGCCTGCCATGCAAAAAAATATTTGAAATCCTTCCAATATTTCCTGAGAAAAAGAACAACAGTGCAACGAGGTAACATTCTTACATAACTCTATGTCTTTAACTGAAGAACAGTAGGAGGTCGTGAGGTAAAATTCTCCAACTTCTCCCACTGTTTAGATTAATGATTGATATGTGTGACAAACTGTGCAGGATAGCACCACATGGACCGGGTCGATACACACATGCACACACTTAAAAAGCCTCAGGCAGGAATAACAGTAATAAAGTTCACTGTATGCTACTGCCACTGCTCATGCAAAAGGAAGACTACCGAATGCCAGAGGTCAGCAGCATGTGTATCAGTTTTCAAAGACAACAGAAGAAGAAAGAAGGGTGGGTTGGTATGAGCGAGCAGCGGAAAGAGAAACAAAATATCTCCAGTCTTCCCATGACATTCCAGCTGCAGCATGTAACTTTCACAACAGAGTGTGAGAAAGGAGGCAGCGGGCAAGCGCGCGCACACACACACACACACACACACCCACACACACACCACCTGTGGCAGCCTTAAACAACAAGGCAACACACCTACTTGTTCAGCAGTTCCATTAATAAGAAGTAAAAAAAAAAAGCTGAAGAACCAAATCATCTCACCTAGCCAAGGACCTCCACACACACACACACACAGCACCACACACACACACCTACATCTTCATGTTAAATACATATCTGATCTGCACTCAGCTCTCTGTTTCCTTTCTGCCTACAGGAGCAGTAAATATAATGGCAGACTCAGACATACTGTACGGTACATTCTTCTACATGATCCCACTGACAACCCTAACCCAACACCCCCCTTACCGCAGCCCATGGACCGCAAATAGATCAGAGCAGACACAGACACAAACAGAGAGGAAGAGGGAGACATTACCAACCTGCTCTTTTTGTGGACGTGCAGCCCACATGTTGGTTAGTGCTCAATCCGCTTGGCTTCACTCAATGGACGGCAACAGTGAGACACACACACTCCCCACCACCAAGTGTGCAGCAGACAGCTAGCACTGGGCTCCCTGCGTTAAGTAACTCTGTAAGTGCAGCTCAGATAAACTAACAGTGAACTCTCTCCAACTCCTCGGGAAGCGAGGGGGTCTGTGGAACTCTAGACCAATCACAGAAGCAGGTCCTTCCCACAGGCTTCTCTCATTGGATGAAAAACAAAGTCCTGGACTTTTGGTGAAGTAGGAGGAGTCCTCTGGGGAGACACTGGTCCTGCCTATTATCTCATCATTTCATACTCCTACTTTCTCTGTTTTTCTCTTCTGTGTGTGTGTTACTATGTTTGTTTCTCTGGCTCTATATATTTGAATATGTCTGTGTCAATATGTGTGTCTGTCTATACAAGTCATTGCATGTATGTCTGACTGCCTGTGGCTTTGCATGTATGTGTGTATAGGATATTTTTAAAGTAACAAAACAGTTAAGCGCACAAAAAGTTAAAAAAATATATCCTTGTAAGATTAAAAAATCTAAACCTGTGTGTACACATGCTATGTGTGTGTTCCTGCTGGCAGAGCTTTATACTGAAATGTACCATAATATCACACCTGTAGTACCAAACTATTAATATTAATTAGTTTGTCGGCCACACACAAACATGCACACATCCAGAGGTTCAAGTACAAATCAAAAGAGATCTCTTTCGCCATCTTGTGGATAAATGGATGAACTGCACCCTTCACAGACAAACTCCTACACATAGCTGTCAAGTGTGCTTGTGTGTGTGTGTGTGTGTGTGTGACAGGGACTTTACCCTGTACTCTGCTACCACACCCTGGAGGAATAGTTCAGCGAAAATGACAGTCAAAGCACTCCAATATTTAACCATGTTTACCAGACACACCCCAGAACTATGTCCATGTGAACCTCAGAGAGAAGGGGCGGAAACAGTAAAGCAGTAAATGTAGTGCATGTATAGGATACACAGCAGTAAAATCATAGAAAAAGAGCAAACGCAGAGTTGAACTGTGAGAAACTACGGGTGTTTTTCCCATACATAACCCAGTTCACAGCCATAAAAAGACCAAACAGAAACATCTCTACTAAAACACAGACACATTTCAGTTAAGATACCCAATGCTGCTATTATTACCTCCTGTTGTCCCAGAAACAATCCAATGGCTTTGGCATTTTGTCTGTAAAAAGTACTGATTCAGCGTGTTGTTTGGCTATTATCATCATTACCACAGTGTTTATGAGCGTCGGCCCACTGAAATGTACTTAGATTACACAATACAATTACTGGAAAATCAAAAAAACACCACCAATATACACGCACAAACCGACACAAACACACACATACAATACACATATACATCATGACCACAGGTAGATACATACCAGATGTAATTAAAAGATCTCAAAGAGGCTGGGGAATACACAAGCGTCCTGCTTGTGTTCTTTCTACCATTAGGATCTCTCTTGCTCTCTCTTTCTCTATTTATCTCTTTCTCTCTCTATCATGATTCAGTGGTCATAAACATAATGGCATCTACTGGTAAACACAGCACAAAGGGCAGAGAGATAACGCTATTTGAAGCATGAGGATCACATCAGCGCAGTACAAAGAGAAATATATCGCAATCGTGGTGATTCACACTTACATTGACATACATTACATTTGTTTCACCTGAGGCCTCCAGCAAGCTGTCATTAATCCAATAAGAGAATGTGCCTTATTTGTCAATCTTACAGTATCACTCTGTCAGAGAGGAGTGTGGAGATAGCAGGATTTCAACCAGTGATAATGTGTTCCTTCTGGCCAACACCCTATAAAGACAAAACACAGTAATGTTAACTGCATATTCATTAAGAAATTGAGTTAACACCAGAATTTTTGACATTATAAACCAAACTACATGTGGCTGCAGTCTGCTAATTAAGGCTATTTGGTGAGATAGTCTTGGCTTAAACTAATTGACCCACTTCCTGTTTCCTGTAATTGATAAATCAGTTTTGATGCTGAAACATCTCAGTAATAGAGTTTGTTATACCACACAAACAAGGTTACAGCTGAGTCTAATCAAAATGAAGAAAAAAGTAATACATACATTTGGTAACTAGCTTAGCAGAGTATCAGTAACTGCTGTCTGTGTAGCCACTGGCTCTAATGAGATTATATAACATAGTTAAGCTTTGAATTACATATTTAAATGTATTCACTCAAAGATCAAGAATAATGAAGAGAAGAAGAACAATTTTTTCTTCTCAGTTTTTTAGTTACTGTTGCTGCCATTAGCAGAATATCCAATCATCTTTCCAGTTATTAGGGAGTGATATATTCTAAATTCTAGTGGCAGTTAATTACTAAAGTGACCCTGCTCTAACCTCATTATATAATATGCAGTAATTATAGTCTATGTGTATATAATCTACTTTATGAGTCTAGACCTGCATTAAATAAAACTCTACAGCAGCTAGGATTTGACACATGTTGCTACTTTGCAAACGCTCTTTGAAACAGGAACTGTGTACACTCCATAAGTGTCACATCATGGCCCGTGTTCTCATTCTGCAGAGGGCAAATTGAAGCCTTATATTAAATCTGGGCTTCAGATTGACTCAAATGCAATTTGATTCTTGGTGACCGTGGAATTATATGATTCTATCTGGGCAGAGTGCAGTTCTGAGATATTAAGCATCACAATTTCATATCCCACCAGGCAAAGACAAAGCGTTTTAAACCTTAACCCCAAATGGCTGGATCTATGCTGATAATTTCCAGGAGCAAAAGCCAGATAGGATCTTCAAACTGATGACAAAACATAGTCAAGAAGATTTACTAATCTTCACCATGCTTGCAGGATTGGCTGCAAAGCCACACTTCTGGAGAAGGTGGTTGTTCTGAATCCTGTTCATGAACAAAAGTACTCCTATTTGGAAGGATTTCACTCTAATTTATCCCTATATGCTCTCTGAAAGACCTGGAGGTACACATTGTCTGAAACTGGTGAACATTTAGAGCAATCACTGCTCTAAAAGCAGCTGTAGGTGGCGTTGCAGCACTGGACTTACCGTAGACCCCCACACCACCCTCCCAGCAGCACCACTTCACCTGTATATGATGTTTTGCGCACTGGGAGTAAGGAGCCACATAATGGATATGCACCATAACTAGAGGAGCAGACTTGGAAATCCCGGGTGAATTTCTTTGCAATTCCTCAACTACTTTATTCTTCTTAAATCATTTAAACTCCTATTTGCATGATTATGTTGACAATGCGTCGTTCCTTCGTGGTGCTTGTGACTTTTATAAAACTGTCTTCGTTCCGTCATATAGTGTTTGTCTGCACTGTGGTTGTTGTTTATCCGTTTGTGTTTGGCTGAGTCTGAGCTCCGGTACCCTTGACAGGACAGATGTTTACCACTGCTGCCGCATCATTACGAACCTGCCTGTGACTCACCATCACATGCTGCCCGGTGCAACTTATCCACCGAGCCCCTGTTTTGTTTTTATCTGACGTGCAAAAGCAAGGACTCGCTGCCGGTGATGGGAACTCGTTGGGACTCTTTGGCGCATGAAGGATTCTCATGTTTCATTCCCACCAAAGCACTCAGTTGCTGGTGTCTCAGAGACAGAAAGGATGCAGGAGATAACTTGTCTCAAAGTTAGATTTTTCTTTAAGCATTTTTAGATATGTTTGTGCTGTGTTTCTCTCTGCTGCAGCTGCTTTGATTGGAATACACCTCTCCATGCGTTTCGGCTGTCGATGTGTAACTTACAAAAATCCAGCATGTAATTTTGTTTTGTAACTAGCCTACTCTTCTTTTGAACAAGTAGTAAAATAGGCTCATGTTTGAGTTAGACTCTGGAGAGGACTATCTGTTCCCTGGAGGATCTCAGACGTTCTTTGTCCGCTCAGAATTGTGACTTCAGCTTAAGTGGTTACACAAGATCTTTTGCAACGCGCGCAAGGGATATTGATTTTACGCACGGCTGCCAACCTTTGCCATTACCTCCGCAACTCAAACATTGATGATGGGAGAAAAGGGCAGCGCCAAGGGGCTTGAGGAGTCCCAGACCCGGGGTGCCTTTAGCAGTCAGGGCCAGGCACGGCCCCGTGAATAACCGCACGGCGACAGCATGCCCTCTTGGCCCAATCTCTCGGAGTGCCTCTCCCATAACTGTAGCTGGGAAGAGATCCATAACGCCACAAGGAACGCTGACCCTGGCCTGCCTCCCCTCAATTACTATTCAATCCCTCTCCTCACGGCCATCACCATCGCCTGCACGCTGCTGTTTCTGGTCGGGGTGGCCGGGAATGTCATGACAATTTTGGTGGTCAGTAAGTACCGGGACATGCGCACCACCACTAACTTGTACCTGTGTAGCATGGCCGTGTCCGACTTACTCATCTTCCTCTGTATGCCACTGGACCTCTATCGTATGTGGAGGTACAGGCCCTGGAGGTTTGGGGACGCACTCTGCAAGCTCTTTCAGTTCGTGTCAGAGTCATGCACCTACTCCACCATCCTGAGCATCACCGCGCTGTCAGTGGAGCGCTATCTGGCGATCTGTTTCCCGCTGCGTGCCAAGGCCCTGGTTACCAAAAGGCGGGTGCGTGCCCTCATTCTTCTCCTCTGGACAGTGTCTCTATTGAGCGCCGGGCCGGTGTTTGTCATGGTGGGAGTGGAGCGTGACAGCATGTGGCCGACAAATCTCAGTTCGGGAATGAATGAGACTGGTTTCTACCTGGAGGCCGGGGACACTCGGGAGTGTAAGATGACCCACTACGCGGTGGAGTCAGGCCTGATGGGGGCCATGGTGTGGTTGAGCTCTGTTTTCTTCTTCATGCCGGTGTTCTGTCTCACAGTGCTCTACAGCCTCATAGGCCGTCGGCTGTGGCAGAGACACAGAGAGACAAACATAAACTCTCGTGTGGCTCACCGGGACAAAAGCAACAGACAGACCATCAAGATGCTTGGTAAGTTTGGAGAGCGCGCAAATTACGCACACTCACAACTTGATCCGCATTTGTATCTATTTAGTAGAATAGCTTGTTTACAACTTTATATCCACTTACTTCTCTACTTCTCTCCCCTCTGCCCTCCCCTTTTATTCCTCCATCTTCATCCTTCACCTCACCTGCTCATCTTCCTCTCCATCCAGTTGTGGTGGTGCTGGCCTTTGTCCTGTGCTGGCTGCCGTTCCACGTGGGTCGCTACCTGCAGTTCCGCTCCCTAGACGCTCCGTCCCCGCTGCTGTCTGTGTTGTCCGAGTACTGCAGCTTGGTGTCCGTGGTTCTCTTCTACCTGAGCGCGGCCATCAACCCTATACTCTATAACACCATGTCCTGGAAGTACCGGGGCGCAGCGGCGCGCCTCTTCGGCCTGACTGACAGCCAGCCACCACGAGGCCGCACAGCCAGCACCATGAAGGGAGACGGCTCAAACGGCTGGACGGAATCCACAGTCAGCTTCTAAACGTGTAACCATCAACATTTCTGGACAGAATTTGCAAAAAAGGTTAGTCATTAGTTGATAATGCTGACCTAAAAGCCATTATTTCTGTCAGGCCGGTGAATAACTGTTCTGTACACGTGAGCCCGGCATTTACCTTTATTTGGCTGGGACTGAAAGAAACAGAGAATGAGAAAAGAGTGAGCCACAAAAAGCTGCAAGCCTCTACTCACTTTGTCTCCATGCATCAATAGAACTTCGATTTCTCAGTTTCATTTTCTTGTTGGATTATGTCAGCAAGTGCAATCCACTATTCATATAACACACCCAGCAGCATTTAAAAAGCGCGACTGGTGGAGTGCAAAACACACACCAGTCTGAAGTGCTTGTATTGATCCAAATGTGAACAACACACACAGCAGACACGTATAAATATCTTAGACATCTACAATTGCCTTATATTGTATTCATATTCTGGATGACAAAGAAAGCACTGTAGAATTTGTGGCACTTTCTCTGTACTCCTTTAGAGAGGAGCAGAGGTGCAGTGTGTGTGTGTGTGTGTGTGTGTGTATGAGAGAGAGAGTGAGAGAGTAAGTGAGTATTTGCATGTGTGTTTTGTGTGTCATGGTTTTGGATGAAATTGATGTAATTTGTTGGAGAGAGTGTGAAGATGTAAACGTATGTTACTGTTGTTACATGTGCTGAATGCCCTGTATCTTGGAAATTCAAGTCCATGCTGTGCTGATGCTGCCAATGTGGTTGGTGTACAGTCCCTGAAATGGAGATAAAAAATATAACTGTGTAGCCATGAACTGCTTCCACATCAAGGTTGGAGTTTGATGCACAGGAGCCACAAAGCAAGTGGATTTTTAGGGACTGTGAGACAAAATACACAATACAAACATTTCCAAGATATGAAGTCATTATACTTAAATGATCAACATTCACGTTTCAGGCTCCTACTGCTTAAAAGAAATTATCTGAAAAGAAGGAGAGTTTGAGAAGGTTTCACTAAATGTTTAAGGTTCACTTTTAGACAGTAAATTTCAGTGATTTTATCAGTTTGGTGCATTAGACAAAGAAAGCTGATTGGTGTTAGTTTAAACATCGACATATCAATGGCAATAAACACCTCAGCTTTCTGAGTCTTGTGAACTGTGCACCACTGAAACCATTTCAGCCATCTCAGGTGCACTATTGTCTGTTACCGTCATACACAGAATGTGCTAATCTGCGGATCCAATCATACAAAACATGTAGCAGATCTGTCATTTGTCTGATTTGACAAGATTCATTATGATACTTGAAGTAATATTCAACTTTGGAAAGGAATGAAGACAGCTGGCTAAGTAACTTCTCTCTTTTCACTATTCACTCCTTCATAAAAGTACAAGAGCAGTAAATGTGGAGTATAAGCTCCCCTTTTGATTCATGTTCATCTTTGGCACAAATTGTTCTCTACCCCCTAAAGTGTTCAGTGTGAATAGGCAGTGAGTAACTTTTTCAATGGTTAAATCAAACACGCACAATGTAAGTTATATTATGTATGTCTTGTCTTCTTTTTTGATTTTGTAGAAGATTATACTTCAAATGAAGGACATGGTAAAACTGCATGGGTTCCCAGTCAAAACTATTTTCACAGGTTACTCTGCAGTGCGTGATGATGTATGAACTGAACTAGAAAAATTCTAATGTGCCAAAGGTGTCAACCTCGACACATTGTTACAACACTATTCAACAAAAAAATAAAATAAAATGACCTTTCATTTATATATGTCTACGATAATGCAAAAGATGGAAAAATAAAAGTGATTTCATTTTGTAAACTGTACAATGCAGTGTTTCCGACAAAGAGGATCAGTGAACTGTCTATAAGTGACGATGTTATATGCTTGCTTTAACTTGTAAATAGATGCTTTGTAATGCTTTACACTCAATGCTATACACTCAGATGGTTTCAGCAGCCCAAATCACCGCAGCAGCCTCCACTAATCTGCACTGGATTTAAAAACATGGCCTCCTCTTGGCTCTGAAGAATGTATCTCTGTTAATGAATGTTTCTGACTGTATATACTGATGTCATGGCATAATATTTATTAATCTACAAAATGTATACAAATCTAAAGTGTAAAAAAAATGATTCATATTTTCCTTTTTTTGAAGACGTCTGTGAATAACTCTGGGTAATGTATCTGTTGATAATAAAGTCTTGTAAAAATAAAAAAAAAAATAAAAAGAAAGACAAATCTCAATTCTTCTTTACTTTGCCGCATCATCAATGAAGTCTACACTGCTCAGACTGGACTGAGACACACAGGAACTGCAATTTTTTCCATATGTGACCTTGCAATACTCCATTATATAATGCTTCAGTGGGATCTACCATTTAGTAGATCACAATCTTAACACAGCAGTGTGTTCTCTGTCATCTCAGCTGGCATTGTATTTTTATGGCCACATGGTACAGTACGGCTGTATCACCTAAGACGGCTTCAAAGACAGCAGGCTCTGCCCTTATATACCAAACAGGGTTCAAAGCACCCCTCAGTCACCTGTGAGGTAACATAAGGTACCTCATCAAAACACAATGTCTACAAAACCCTCTTCAGTACAAAATGTTCAGCAGATGTTTGTGAAAATCTGTGGCAAAAATAGAAAGGTATGCATGGGTGTGCGCTCGCTCGGCAGAGAACATTGAAAGATTATAAAATCTGAAGTGAATTAATTAAATAAAAGCCGGGTTGTTATCTCATAGAAAAAATGATTAGTGGGTGGATGATAGGTAAGCAGAAGAAGTGGTGTAAAATAACAGCGATGAGGACAAGAGGTCCCTATTCAAAAAATTGTGCAATTAAAATAGACAATAAAACAAAAGGTGAGAGAAGAGAGGTTTACTCAATGAGTCAGACATGATGATAGTTTATTTAGATGTGGGCTGTGCAGTCAAGAGTGAATAAATTACCTTTAGACAAGAGTAAGAGGAGTGAATTGAAGAACAGTTCTATCTCCATCTATTATTAGTGTATGCCTGTACATGCAGTAATCTCTTTATTTGGTATAGCAGCTGGTACCAGTTATGACTAGTTGTCGCTAACTGGTATTGAAAGCCAGCGTTTGCGTTTAGACAGTCCTGATCCTCATCATCTGACAGCGACACAACATCCTACAGGAAGCATCCTTTTAAACCAGACAAGAGTCAACAGACATGTTAGCGGCTCTGTGAGGCTGTACTGAAAAGCAGTGTTATGAGATCAATGCTAACATGCTCACAGTGATGATGTTTAGTAGATATAACATTTACTATGTTACTATTTTAGCATGCTGGCATTTGTTAGTACAAATAAGGTGGATGTGAGTGACAGTTTCACTGGCACGACGATGGCACTCACACACTTGCCATTTCACTTAAAAGCACAAATGTGAACCTCTTGATGGTACTTGTACTTGTACTTGTTGCATTGTCTATACTGAATTTCATGGCAATCCAACCTATAGTTGCAGAGGAATTCCCTTACTGACCAACTGACCGACTTCACCAATTGTATCTCTAGGGCCATGGTTAAAAAAGAACAAAGCAAAGTCAGTGACTGTAAAGGAGTAGTTATGTATGCTCTGATGATTCTCCAAGGGGAAAATGTAGATTCCCTCACCAGCAAACCAGCAGCCTAGACTGTTGACACTTGAAGGACATCCACAGTCACTGCATTTGCTGTATCACAACAACCATATCAAGTATGTGTTCTTCCGTTCAGTTATTCAAGTTGGACAGTTCTATTGCCTCATCTTCTTGTTCTTTGCAGACAGGAGAGGAAAACAGTCTGCTTTTATTTTGCTGTAGCCCATCTAGTGAACAGTTTGACAGGATTTGTACTCTTCAGTGTCCCTCACATCATACAGTTATTAGCTTGAAGACTTGTGTCCCGACTGTATACACAGCCACAACAGTAGAATACATTTCTTCTTCTTTGGACTTTGTTGCTAAAACAGCAGCAGATTAGATTATTTTGTTACACTGTTGTTATTTCTTGGTGAACTTGAGATAATGTTGTTGGTGAAAAGCACAAGGAGCTGGCTGCTTCGAAAATGCCAGAAGTGGTGCATCTGACACCACAGACCATACCATAGTCAGTTACTTAAATTTTGCTTCTTGCCCAGTTCACACACTAATAAATCCACTTAATGCTTTCTGAGTGCTTTATCCATACTGCATTTAATTGTCTGGAAGAATGAGTATCAAGTGGCCACTGCTTACAGTGCAATTCTCAAAAACAGAGCTTTGTTAGATCACTCTAATTAAAAGGAGATAAGGGTCAGCTAGTGAAAGAGTGTTGTTTTGCTTTACACCACTCTAAATAAACCCTTTGTACATGAACCACAAAATGATCACACAAAAGGTTGAAAGACTAATATTCCCCTGGTGTCCTTGGGTGACTGCAGAGTGAGGGGAATCGAGCGTGCGGAGCGGCAGTCTCCCTCTGGCTGCCCTCAGGGACAGCAGGGAATAATGGCTTGTGTGATATACTATCGAGACCACTGGAGAGTAAATCTAGCACTGACACACCTTCCCACAGACTCACATTCACACTGACAACCAGGGGTAAACTGACTGACACGTTGATATTTAGAATGTTGGTTTGAAACATAATTCATGATCATCTTAACCCTAACATTATAAATATCAATTATTGCTCAGCAATGTTTACAACTGTATGGTGTACCTGATGAGAGCAGAATCATCATTCTCTTATTAAATCTTAAAGGTAAAAATCAATACAGTACAGTAAATTCCAGGAAACTTTATGTAGAGTAGTGTCGGGGTATGTAGAAGTGCTTATGAATAATGACACACACAATAAAACATACAGATGGAATCAAAGTCAGAAAAAAAATCAAAACATTTATTGGGCATAAATATATTATATATACGCTACCGATACAGTTACGTCTTACATACATAGGGTAGTATTTGCAAAAATCTATACATTAAAATTGATATGGCAGTTTCTTTTATATAATGCATATGAAATTGTCTAACATTTACAATACAAGAAGAAATGCATGAATTTCTTTTCTTTTTTCTCAATTCGTAGACCATGACAACATTGGAATGTTTGTTTTTAAATCGTGAGGTAAAAATATGTTTCTTTTTTGTCTAAAAAATAGTTAAATACCTGTGAGTCTCTGTATGTTTGTCAAATCGCCAAATTCTCAGTCAAAATCTCTACTTACTGTAAAACATACAAAACATAACAAAAAAAAAAATAATTAAAAGAAGAAAATAAACTGATCAGAAGGCACAGACGTTAGGTTGCTGGGCAAACAAATTGTCTCTCATTCTTGACATGCCCGCCAAATGTGCAGGACCTGCAGGATGGGTGGGTGGTTGGGTGGGAAGGGCGGGGTGTCTATAAAATCACCAGCATTTTGAAAATAACAAAACAAAAACAACAAAGCACATAAAGGGAGTACCCTGCCCACAAATGCACAGCCTTTAAGTTAACACTGTGTTAACCTCGGACTGTACAACACTAACATGACTGGCCTGACCTCGGCCAAACACAAGGTGAACCTCTGCTCTCCTACTGGGGGCATTAAGGCATGAAAAGGGGAATCAGGGGGCTGTGGGTGGGCAACATAACATCAGGGGTTTAAGGACAGCACACCCAACACATCACCTGTCGACTACAATGCAACAGGCTAGGTAGAAACCATGAGCACATCTGAGAGAGGCACCGTGCTCCCTATGAACTGTACTTCTTTTGTTGCTGTAGTTTGCATTCTGCAGGGAGCAGGGTGCCATTTGAGAAGCACAGCACCGTGCTCAAGTAATGCCAATGTCACAGTGACGCCAACGACAGAATAATGCCAATGAATGTAACAGACGACGTTGGCAGTAGTGTTTGGAAAAGAGCGAAGGACCTCGTGTCTCCTCTCACTCATATTAACCTCATCAAGACTAATGCTCGGCATAAAAAAAGTGCTTCAACTCTGTTAGTCATAATGTATTACCATCTCATTCTATAGCTCTATAGATATCTCTGTATATCATCTCTTAGCAAAATACTGGATACAAATACTCACTACTGCTATACCAGCACTAACCTGAACAAGGAATCGTCAATATTATTATTGTCATCATTTGCCTGAAATCATCATATGATTGTTTTTGCCTTTTTCTTTTTTAACCTTTCTGTGTGAGATCAGGTTATGTTACTCTCCTCCAAAAGGGGCTACACATTTCAAAATGGCACATTTTGCTTTACAAAACAAAATTATAAAAGATAATATGAAAAGAAGCATAATCACAGATCAAGTTAATGTTTTTTTTCCTTTTGAGAGAATAATAATAACAATAATAATAATCGTAATGCTGTGTCGTTACAGAACATCATCACATAACCCTTTAGACGACTGCAAACGCAACATCTAGTGGACAAGAGAAGCCTGCACTTTGGCAATAAAACAGTAAAAAGATATCAGAAGCTTCATTATAACACTAATCAGGAAAAAAAAAGCCAAAGGCAGCGACGTTTATCCCAATACAGATGACTTGACCCTAAGGCCTGGCTTTGCTACATGTCTCTCTAAGCATAACAAGAACTGCTCGGCTGTGCATGGCCGATCCAGGAGATGAAAACAAAAAACAAAACACAGGCATTTGGTTACATGTTTGAAACGGCAATGATAACTGCAATGCATGGACTGATGAGCTACAAGTTCCCAACAGCTGTAAGAGAAATACTTAAAGGGTTACTGAGATAAGGAATGCTGGCCTTAATCATACAATCTAACATACATCCATTAAAAAAAAAAATGAAAAAGAAAAAAAAACATGCTACAAGGAAAAAAATTAGTATATAACTACACTTGTCTCTTAATCTTTAAACAATAAATAAATGAAGATTGCACTGTAATTGGCATGTAAAGTACTGTATGCAAATATATAGTATAAATAAAACCTAGAAAAGAACTCTACCTTAACTTTCCCATCAACTTTGGCAAAGGTATTTTGAGCTAGTAAACCACTTTGCTTACTGACATACAGGAGCAAGGCACAGCATAGACAGAGGACAAGATACAGCATCAAAAAAATTAAAGTTAAAGATAAAAGAGGGGGAGGAAGACAGAGAGAAACAGAGGAAGAGAGGCTATTATGATGATGGTGATGACAGCGATGGGGATGACATTAGATCTCCCCTCTGTAAGGCCTTATCCCTGAGGTACGTTACAGGCTGCCAATCAGAGCTGAGCGGCGGGGCTAAACTATTGCCCCAACCCTCTTGTATAACCCCCTTTCCCACCCAGTCCTTCTTCCCCCTGCACCCCACCTGACAAAAGTAGACGTGTCACACATTAATTATGCAGGTCAGGGTGACTTCTTTGGATCATCAGGGTATGTATTGGGCTGTACCTTGGCTTTGTTTTTCGGGTTTGGGATAAAGGGGGTTTCAGGACTCAGGCGGGAGGTCGGGGGGCGGAGGGGGTGTTACATGTTATGTGTCAGAATGCCCTGTTCTGTTGAGTTGTGTTCTGTCGAAGGCTTGTTTGGTTAGCGAACATTAGTTCAAATCCCCAGAGAACATGTTCGTCTGAGGAAAGACCACAGACTTGCTACTGCTCTGATTACATGTCAATAAAGCACCTTTTAATAGAGAGAGAGAGAGAGAGAGAGAGAGAGAGAGAGAGAGAGAAGAGAGAGAGACAGAGAGAGAGAGAAGAAGAGACGAGAGAGAGAGGGAGAGAGAGAGAAGGAGGGAGAGTAGTGCATGGGCAGAAAGGTGGGATGGATCGAAAGTGAGAGGAGCAGCCAGAGCAAATGTAATTACAGAAAATTATGGGGACGAGAGGAGAAAAGAGGAGAAGAGTCTTCAAACGTATCGATTCACAGACTGGGTGGAAGGAGAAACTACAGCTTCAGCACTGCTCTGGCTTGTGGCTAGCTAAATGTCGGGCAGGGTTAAAGCTCAAGCTAACTCCTAATGGCTTTCCTGTTTAACACACACAGCTCTGAGAAGGGCGGCTAGCTGGCAGGCTGTTAGCACCTCTGGGTCTGTGACGCTACGGGCATATCGCTACTGAAGCTACACATAAACAGGCTGGAGCAATGGTACGTGAGATGGTAGAATATGGAAGGACTGACTGAGGGCCAATCAAATGCTCAGCCCAGCCCTTTCCTGGTAAGCTGCAGCCAATCACAATCCCAGTCTGGTTTCCTAAACGCTAAAGCCAGTTTATGCCCAACATTCGAATACCAACAAGGGTTCATATTCTGGTCCAAGACCAGTGTTTAAGGGCTCCTTCAACCGTTCACACGAACTGACCTCAGAGCTGCTGTTTGTGAGCACCTAGAGTCGACTCCTCCCCTTTCACACTGTAGTTCAGACCTTACATTGCCATCACTTATATTTATATATATATCAATTGATATACATATACATTGTGTTGTATATATATATACTATTATTATAATAATATATATAATATAATATATATATATAATATATATATATATATATATAGATATATACTATAATGTGTATACTATATATAATATAATAATAATATATAATATAAATATATAATTGTGCTGTTATATTATATATATATATAATATATATACATGCTGGTTTTTCCACCATTCCTTATCTGTTATATATATATATATATTAGATAACTGGTTTTCCATTCTTTCTGAGATATAATAAAATCACAGGATAGCAGCATCTTTCACCACACATGAATTGCATCACTTTGGTAGCTGAATGAGTGAATGATTGAATATTAAAAGCTGAGCAGATATGTGATTGGATGAGTGTAATTGTACATGTGTGCATGTATGTGAACGTAAATTTGCACTGTGTCTTTATCAGTCTGTGTGTGAGAGCAGGTGCAGATTGCATGAATTGACCGACAGCCTGTAGAGTGGTAACAAACTGAATAATAAGGTATGAAGGGCTAAAGCTTTGAAGGCCCACATTAGAATATGGCTGAAATGAATAAAGACTGCAGCAAAAAAAAAAGAAAAAAAAGGAAATTACACATAGAAAAAAAAAAGAGGCAATGACTGTCAAGAAATATACACGTTCTCTAATCGAATATGTTTTAAAAAGATACAAAATAAAAACATGCAAGTCAGTCTGAGGAGCAACTGCTTTGCTCACAGCTATTTTAAGGCTTGATTATCAGTTTTCTTTCCCAACGGAGGTACAGCTAAGACAAGGCTTCCCTCGACAGAAATCCTTAACAAATGAGACAGACAATGATACAAAGACAGCAGACACATAGAGAGAAATGAGACCAAACTGAGTGAAGGCAGAAGACAACAGGAACAAAGCCAGAATTGATACTTTGACAAAAAAAAAAAAAAATACATAGCCTTAGAAGTATATCTCAAGTGTTTGTTTTGATTTCATTCAGTTCTTTCATAGACTCTGTGATTTTGCTTTCTCTTTCTATCCTATAGTTAAAATTCCCTCACTTCATGAAGAAGTACTGTAGCAAGCAGGCGATGAGGATGGAGAAGCCTGCGAACACGCACACGATGAGCGCAGCGAAGCGCTCGTCGCTTGAGATCAGGCCCGCCCCTTTGCCTGTTTCCACGGCGCACATCTCTCCCGATGATGCCATCTCCTGGCGACGCAGCGTGAAAAAGGAGGAGGGGCTCATTGGTCCGCACAGTTCCTGGCACGTATCCTGGCAACGGCGACAGGCGCCCACGCGGAAACGATAGTCCGTGTTGCCCTGGAGTCCAGAGATTTGGAACACGCCCTCCTCTCCCTTAAAAACCTGTGAGTGGAGAGAAAGATGGAGAGAACTAAGTTAAGCAACAAGTTTGTAAAAAACATATAGTTTATTTTTTCTCATTAGTGTAAAATGTAAATGTAAGTAAGAGACTTATCCACTGAACCCCAATGCCAGTTGATTTTATTGAAGGTGTGTTCGTGAGTGACATGAGTTGGTGTTTTGTTGGAATCCACAACCTGCATGCTTGCAGCGGTCACATATGATTGCTTGTTTTCATAGCGTGTGTATCGAGAAGCTCTCAGCAGGTGCCCATTTGCAAAGGGAACCAGTCAAATTATGAGAATACACTAGCAGGGCATCATGACCATACCATAGTGAGAAGACCAGCCCCTGGAGTGTCATGATTGTGTCCTGTCTTTATGGAATATGCTTATTGTTGGCAACACAGCTTGCTGATTGTGTCATCCTTGCAATGAAATTTGAGCAGTTATTGTCATCACTCAGAAGAATTTTATCTGCTGCTAGTTAGAGTTATAAAGTCATTTTAGTCTCTTGACAGGTCATTGTCTTGAACAAGAGCAACTATTATTGTTGTGGTTTAGGGATAAAGCTGACAGGTAGGAACATGTATACTTGTTTTCTCTCCCTTGTGTGCATGCTGTCCTTGTCTTTCTTTCCCTTTGTGTGTTTGTGTCCTTTCTTCTATCTGGATGAATGATGTGTTTGAGCTTTTTCTCTTGTGCTATTTTCCAGGTCTCCATGATGGAGAGGTTTGTTTAGGGACACCTGGAAATTGCTTGACTCCCGGAACCATATTCTTCATTATGACAATCTATAATTTTTGTCATCCTGATTGTACATACTGTAATTTTATTTTGTTGGTTTAATCTACTGCATGTCTCTCTGTCCTGGAAGGGGGATCCCTTCTCTGTTGCTGTTCCTATGGCTTCTTCCATCTTTCCCCGTTAAAGGGTTTTCGTATTTGAAGAGGGTGCTGTATGCTGTACAGATTGTTAATCAGTGATTTGTAATACTGGGCTATATAAATAAAACTGACTTGAGTTGTAGCTGATCAGGAACAGTGAAATGTTTTTTTTTGTGTGTGAGAGCAGCTGACACCTTAGTTTTCCTTTCAGTTTAAAGCAGCAGGTGGACCGTAAGTGTGCGTGTGTTTTACACAAAGGTGTATTGATTTTTAGTTTTATCCTCCAGAGTTTCATGCTTTTCGTGCTCATGAATGATGTTGGCAAATTAAACAATAACGTGTGTATGCAGCCACTCACTGTTTATCTCACTGTGAGAATAAGAAACAAACACAATAAAAAGACAAAGCCACAGAGAGGGAAACATACAAACATCTGACAAGCAGCATCACAGATTTGTATTGACAGCTGATGTGTGTACACATAATCAAATGAGCAAATACACATCAGACATCCCCACATGCACACATATACACACAGCTGCGATTGTGTCCGCTGGTGAGTACCAGCAGTTCTTCCTTCCAACCATTCAGTAATTCAATAACAGAGAGTAAATGGCCTTGAAGACAAATGTCTTTTTGTCTGTAGTCTACTCGTTTGCTCATCGCTCCAACTGCCAGCCCCAATCCCATACTTCCAAGCGCTGCCAAAATCTTTTTTTCACTTGTTTCTATGTTTTGAGTCTCATTAAAATCCTTCAATACAATTCAATAAGTTTTGCTGGCACTGCAATTTACCATAAATTTCAGAATGCTGTACTTCTCAGTGCCGGGAAGACATAGTGAGTGTAAGAAAGAGTGTCTGTGTGTGTGAGTTTCATCCTCCTATGTGCAAATTCATGTCTACGTGTGTAAGCAGTTGAGTTCTCAGTAATACCTTCCCCATCAATGCAAACTTAATTTTTCTGCTCCTCAGAGAGATTAGAAAATATCCTCCCAGTAGTCATACACACTTCCACAAAAATAAGAGTAAATCAAATAATTGAAGAGGGACTCCGGATTACAGAGACACTGGAGCTCTCAATACTATCCTCATATTACCTGTGTGTGTGTGAGTGTGTCTGTGTGAGACCAACCTGTTTGTATTCTGACTCGCGTCCCACCAGCACCTGAAGCACGTAGCTCACCGGATCTCCTCTCATTGGTGGGATAGTCTCCCATGTGATCTCACACATGTTTCCCTCCAGCTGTTGCACTCTAGGAGCTGTTGATATAATTGGTAAGAAAACATGATTACAATCACACGACAGGATTTCATACTTACATAAAAGTAATACAATATAAAACAAATATTTGGAGCATTTACTATTGTAAGAATGCATGTGGAAGGCCAGATGAAAGCTATTTCTAATCATCTATTTATTAGTAAATGCTAACATCCATCTCCCTCCTAGAATCTAATGCTCCATATCAGCAGTAATGGTTGTGATTATGTTAATGGCTGTTTAGACTAAGTGTGTAGGTACTGCATGTCATACTGGATGTAAGGCACAACAAAGGGAATGGATCTCTAATGTGGAATAATTTTGTTCTTCAGTGTTGATAATTGTTTTGCAAAGCAATATCCTTTGGGGATGACGCCATTTTAGACTGGAAATAATAACCTAACAATGATGATTCAATTCTGACTGCATTAATTGCTGTGCAAAATACATAATACATTTTATTTAACTTCAACCAGGGACCTTATTCATTGATCTGTGCTTCTCTTTATCGTTCTGAATAAAAACTGATTTGCAGAGGACCTTTCGGACAGCTCACATACACGGCTTCCGGTTTTACAGAAGCTTTTTGGATCCTTGAGGCGGTTTATGGATATGTCAATGCTGTGCTGCACATTCACAGCCTCACAGTCCTACCCATAATACTTTCAAGTTATATATCCTGAGAGGATACTCTTTACTGTGATTATTGTAGCTATAATAAGCTACTGCCTCTCAGTTTACAGCAAAGACCACATACTGGAGGCAATAATCAAGCAAGGCACCAGTAAACATGTCATCTCTAACAGCCAAACAGAAACAAATGTATTGCCTTTTTTGGCCTGTATGTGTATCACCTCTTTTGGATCATTCAGTGTAACTTCTAAGCAGCTGGAGCCAGCTGAATCAGCTCTTCAAAAGATAAAACTTAGCTTAGGTATAACATAACTGGAGGTCAAGCTTGTTCTTATGTTATACATCATCCCCCCACTTTTCACCTTGCAACAAAACGCAAACAAACACACACTTTATCTGGGGCAGTTTACCTTTGAGGGTAGGGGGTACAGACTTGGTGGTGCAGAAGGTGTGTGTGTCAGAGAAAGGACCCTCCCCAGCATCACTGATGGCCTGTATTCTGAAGCTGTAGCTGCTGGACTCGGTCAATCGCTGGACCTTGTATGTGTGGCTGGGACCACGGTAAATCGTCACGAACCTGTACAGAGAACATTATGAAGAGGAGGGGAGAGACAATGAATTACAAATCTAGAGAAAAATCTGTAAAAGAGAATGAGGGGTGACGGAGAGGACACGAAGAAAAAGTGAGTCAAAGATAACGGAGAAGGTGAAGAGTGGGGTGAAGGTGAGAGAAAGGAGTGATGGTGCTATGAATAGATTACTGGGGAAGGCAGAGATGCAGTGATAGACAAGCTCAGTTAAAAACCTTGGTTAACAAGAGCAGTGAGGGATGAGGCATCAATGGGATTGGACTTGGATTGCACTATCCACTAAACCAGTTTTGGGGACTGATGCAGACCATGTTCAGGACTGGATTGATGCAGTTTCCCTGGACTTTCAATGACTTCTCACAGAAGGCATTACCTGTTAACTGTGCCTATTAAAAGTTCTTATGGTGCATGCTGTTGCTGGCCTAACTATATAGAAATAAATCTGTTTCTATCCAAACAAACTCCTGTTACTTCAAATATTGGCCTAAATAGTTTACTGGCTGGTAACTTATAGGTTTATGATATGGTGCCTTTAAGTGGGATTGCCTTGAGAAATAAGTAGCTGAGACCTTGAAAAGAAACAGGGATGCTGGTGGGAACAGAGGAGAGTGCATCTTAAGAAAGATAGTGGTGATTTATGAACACACAGGACGAATAGTGACAGGCCATAGTCACAAATCTGATGAAAACGAGCACCAAAAAACGTTTCTGGCTGGCTAGATGGACAGATTGATGGACTAGAGGAGAGATGATAAGTGACCGAATGAGTGAGTAAGGGAGAAATGGGGATTTGAGCTGAGAAGGGCTTATTTATCTCCGCTATCAGCTTTTCAGCACATAGGGTAAAAGTCTGAGTGGGGGAAAGGAAGTTAAGGGAGAGAGAAAGACAAAGGTGACGGGGGCAAGTGAGAAGATAGGAGGCAGTGATAGAGGAAGAAAGTCAGAGGACGATATGAGGGAGAGGAGAAACAGAGCAAGAGGAAAAGAGAGGTGACTGGTAATTATAAAAGTGGAGACAGTGATTGAGGATTTGCTGCAAGAAGAAAGAGAAGAGAGAGTGAGAGAGGAAGAAGAGACGAGAGAGGTCACAGTTTAGCAGAAGGCTATAACTCCAGATGAGCTCTTTATGTAGCTGCACTACAGAGAAGTGATGTGTTTCTCTGGCTGATATATGATGTTGTTAATCCTTCACCTCACAGTCAGTCCTTAAAACACACACCCAACGCTGGTAGAATTAGTTCACTGGACTCAATGTAAATGCTATGTGTGTTCGAGTCACATGGCCACAACCACATGGCTGGAGAATTTGTAATTTTTATGTATATGCAGTTAATACATACATTTTTCCATTATCATAAGCTTCCATCATCAAAGCAATTAACACTCAGCAGGGCACAGACAATTAACACACACACACACACAAAATCACCAGGCCACAGTTAATGAGATGAAACTGCACACTTGGTCCTGAGCCAAACAGTCGACCAATTAACCACAACAAGGAGCAGAGAAGGACAGAGAGGTTAGAAGCAGACAAGCAAGGACGTGTTATTGTTGAGATTTGTTCTATTTTTTTCTGAAGTTAATTCATAGGAATGTCAGTATTGGATTTTTTAGAAGTTTATTTATTTCATTTTTCTGTCAAGTTCGCCTTTTGAGCTATACGATATAGACATCAGCAAGCACTGCTTTGATTGCACCAGCCGGTCAATTTTCAACACAATGTTTCAAGGAGCCTAAAATCACCAATCACAGGCAGAAAAGCTAACATTTATTTTGGCAAAACTTTGTCTAACATCTTATCAAACGGCATTTTTTATTTTTCAAAAGCGAGTGGAAACTTGAAAACTTTCCATATGATCATGATTGTCAGACAGTTTAGCAAGAGAGTTAACTAATAACGCTATCCATTTGACAGAAATAGCATATTATAACCACAATAAATTAGTGTAGTTGTCATCCTCGTAAAATTTACACAAGGAGATTTTTATAAATTTGTTATCCGTTAATATAGTAAACATGTTTTTAAGCAGTTAATGGATGATATGGATGTATCATGCATGCATACTTCTTGATAAGATTAACATTAGGGACAGAGAAGGACAAACAACTTATTTTCAAAGTGGCTGCACTGCTTCCTGTGGAAAAACAAATGAGTGTACAAAAAGATGAAGGACATAGAAATTAAGAACATGGAAGAATGAATAAACAATTGGGAGTGACAGGTGAGCAGACAATGTGAATGGAGAAATAAAGAAGCAACACTGGATAGATGAAAAGATGGAAGAATTTAATTGAAGAAAGGAGGACAGAAAAGGGGATGAAAGATGGATGAAAGGGTGGACAGACATAGCGATGGACATATTAATAGATAATTGTTATGAATGACAGCAACTGCACCCAAGCTTTGCCCCTGGTGCCTTTTCTTCCACCTGCATTCATCTTAAAAATCCATTGTGTCAGGAGCTTGAAACCTTCTTTGCACTACACTGCCTGTGTTGCCATGGTGCCCTTACACTCCCAATACCCCTAGCCAGAAGGTATTCTGGGTAATACGGACAGAGGAGAAAGTGAAATGAGAAAAAAATCATCCAGCTTAAAGGGCAAAAAAAAAAGGAAAAAAAAATAATAGCTCCAAGCGAGAGAGGACAGAGCACAAGCAACAAGTCTGCATACATGGAGATAAGAATGGAAAAAAATAAGCTGTGGGAGAAAGCGGGACAGAGAAGGAGAAAGGAGGAAAGTAAAGAAAGGGGACTCAATATTGTGAACTTGAGACAACAGCTTTCTTCATCATCTTACACACCCACAAAGATGTGGCGGGGTGGATGGGAGAAAAACAAAGAGGGTAAAAGATGGGACGAAGGAAGTATTGGAAAGGGGGCGCAATGAAATCAGATGAATAAATATGAATTAGATCGTCCAGAGACAGCGAGAGACAGGGCCGGGGACAGCCAAAGTCAAAAACATAAATAGCCACTAATGCTATTTGGTTAAAAAATGACACTGATGGAATTTATTGGCGAAATCTGAAATTATATTTGCAGAAATTGCAGCTGGCTATTCAATATGTTTGTTTACAAAGCATTCGATATTTTGTCTTTTTTCAAAATGTCCTTCCAATCTCCCTCGATACATTATGATTAGAAATGAAGCAGCTGGTTGCCATGGCAATTTCATCAATGATAAAAATTCCTGCTAATTCATTCTAATGGTGTGTGATGAGAAAGCAAAAGGGGGAAGAGGAGGAGCGTTGGAGGAGGAGCCCTGTAAACGAGCTCAATCCATCCAATCATCTGGTGATAACAGCACACACACACGCACACACACACACACACACTTCAACAAACGGTGATGCACCGCTAATGCAACCGCTAATACACCTAAACGTTCTGTCACAACCACGAGTAGCTGCAAGTAATGAATTCTAAGCAAAGGCAATTAGGCTGAAAGAGTCAGGAATTACACATCGTCATTATGGAGCATTCAGTTAATTATATTTTTTCCCCTCATCGCGGGAAATGATGGAGATATGAAGAGGAGAAAGTGAAATTGCGATTTATTCTCAAATATATATCAAATATTCCCTAAATCCTGAACAAATTCCAACTCCAAGTAACAGGGACTGCAAAATTTCAATTTTCTTTTCATAAAAACTCATTTTACCTCCACTTCATTCATTTGAGGTCAATCATTTGCATATTATGGTGTAGATAAAATGGAGAAAAATCCAACACCTCCAGGAGAAAAAACAAATATTGTGCTATGTTTTTTTTGGTGATGAGGGTACAGAAATGTGGAAAAACATCATCCCTGCTAAGTGGACAACAAGCCTTAATTCACTCGCACTTGGATCAACCACTCCTACAAGTCTACTATTAGAGAACAAAAAGGGACATGTGTGCACTCCAAAAATACTTGAAACTCGAAACTAATGATCATGAAATAATGACTATGATATTAGTGACCAATTAGGCTATTTTTAGACCAAACAAAAAGCTACCACGATGGGGCACAAACAAACCCTGGCCCCCTCTCCTCTAAAATTGTTGACAACAGCCTCTCAAATTGCTTTCAGTGTCAAACCTTTTATCCAGAACACAGAAAAACATTTTAAAATACAGAAAGAAATTAAACATAAGTCCATTATTAATGTTATATTAATTATTAATATTAATATTAAATTGTTTTTGTCTGTTTTAAACCGTGTATGTGTAGGATTGGCCCTATCAAACATAACACAGGCTATAAAATGCATACAATCAAAGGAAAAAACGAGAAATCCATTAAGCAAATGTTTTTTCTTAAATTCTCAGCAAATGACATGCTTATGCAGCACTTCCTCACGTATGCGTGTTAAAACAAACGCCAGGATGATTCTCAAAATACCATCTGATCCAGACATATGCATATATACACTAGTGTATCCAAGCGTGGTCACAATCGCAAACACACACACAGTAGCATACTACCATGCTAATCACTGTGCCAATTGGAAAAGGGTAAATAAAACTCTCTAAACTGTGAAAGCTGTTCTAATTTGGCTATCAGGGAGTGTGTTTGTGCCTATGTGCATTCCTCTGTCTTTGTATGTGTGTCTGTGTGTGTGACGGAGAGGTTAACAGATCACAGCCTGCCAGATAGAGCCCCATCTGTTGCCTGCTGCACTCTGGACCATTCCAGGGGTGCCTAGGTGCCAACTTGATGCCAGCCAAGCCTTAATTCAAACACTGATAACCGGCCAACCAGAATGGTAGAGGGCTGGACAGAGGGAGACGATCTGACAGGTGGGTAGACAGGCTGGCAGACAAAAGGGGCTCTTTACTGCTTTTCAGTTTAGTCTGCTTCCTACGTCTTTGTTCATCTCTCTTTGCTATTTCTGCTTGGATGTACTAAGCGCTAACATTAACACAAATCAGTCTGCTAATTCTTCGACTCCCTGTTTCTCTGTCTGTCACTCCTGTCTGACCAGTCAGTTAAATGGAGGGTTGATTGTTGGAGGCTGTATCCCGGCTGGCTACCGATGCTTTCAACGTGACTACTCACTGGTACATCTGGTTACTGCACACACACACACAGAAAAAAGGCAGTGTGTGAGTGTCTGTGGTTTGTGTGTAGTATTGACCTTCTTGGTGTATTGACTAAGCTGTTGGTTGAGGAGTCCGTGTGGACATGTGGTGCACAGGGTGGCCGAGATGTTTAGAGAGCACATCCTCTGAGGGGAACATCACATCAGTTTCAATCATACCAATATTGTTTTGTGCCTGCAGATGTGTGTATAGTGTTGATGGGTGCCTATTTTGAATAAAAAGTCCGCAAACCCAAGAAAAAAAACATTTAGAACAATTAATATTTATGTAAAAACAATTATAATGCAGTTACTGGCTCTCACCTAAAATAGATCAGGGTTGGCGGTTGCTATTTCTGTTAGAGTAAACTATGTAAGCTGGGGTTGGGCATTAATTAAATAAGGAATTTATTGGAATTGCTTCATGAGAATATGAACATATTGAGTTAGCATTTTGCCAAATCCTGCGTTCCAAAAGAAAATTGCAATTAGAAGTCAACTGAGTCATTTAAGTTTTTGTTTTGGCAATGATGTACAGTGGCTTGTACAGCTTGTACAGTAGAACACAGTTTGGTGCATTCCTTTCATTATTTTGTATTTCCATGTGCTTTTGCATGTATTTGCTATATTGTGATATATACTGATATCAGAAAAAATAATATTCAATCAACATTAAGATACTGATTTTAACCATAATGCGCATCAAAGATTGTTCTTATGGAGCTTCCTCCATGTTGTGAGATGTATCACACACTGATGGGCAAGCAGCACGAAGAAGGAACTTCATCGTCCACTATGCAGCCATTTCATGTCCATTGTTAGTTTAAGCAAGAGAGTTGTAAAGTATATAGGATTTTTTTGTGAATGACTTAAAATCAAACAACAAAGCATATATGATTAGTTGTACAGTGTGAACAAAAGCTGGGGTTCTTGTTGTCTTTCTTAAATGTATAAATGTATTGTATGCTTTAATTAGGAGCTGTTATTGTGATGTGTACATGAAATAAGTATGTTTTACGTGTTTGACATTTTATGTTTTCTTTACACTGTAGATGTGGTCTGGAATATACTCAGCTGGACCCCTTCTAAGTCTCTACCAAAAGGTAAACAATGACATAAGAGCGGTGCGTGTACTCCACCTGTGGTTCTTGTCCTCCATCTGTAGTGTGTAGACCATGTCATCGGCAAGCAGGGCGCGAGTGTGCGTGTTGCTGGCATTTTCGCCCCACTTCAGCTTCAGGCTCTGAGGGCCAGCCGCCGAGCATTCGAGAGGGGGCGGGGCTGGAGGGAGGGGGCGTGTCCTTGCCAGCAGGGGTGGACTCAGGGGACTGGAGCCGATGTCATTCACTGCCTGGATCTGTACACTGCGAGCCAGAAAGAGAGGGAGAGACAAATTACAATTTGTTCGTTACAGAAACTTTAATTGATTGGACTTTACTTGAGGTTTTTGGAAAAATAAAATTGGTGTTTCCACAACATATATGCCAATATTTTAACCTTGTGTGCTTTCAGTGGGTTTTCAGACCTTTTTCTCTAATGGTGGAGTAATTTTCTGTAAAGAGGCTGATCTGGTGTATTAGCTTTGATTAGCTTCTGTGATCCCTTCACCCACTACCATTCTCCCATTGCAATTCAATGTATTCTCCAGGATGAGATTTGTTTTCACAGCCAGTTCAATGTATAAACACACAGGCACTGTATAAACACAGTAACATACAATACATAATACATTCAAGTGTTGGCCCATTTTTTCCTCTATATAAACACTTTTACTGTTTTAATTTTTTTTGTCTAACTTGATCGATTTTCTAATATATAGCCATGTTTGATACACGTGCATAAACACACACACACAGAAGGACAAACAGATCTACTACTAATTAAAAAGGACTTGAATTAATGGATTTTTGTTGTTCAAACTCCCCTGCTGCCTTTCTTCTAGGAATCCATCTCCATTCCACAATGTTTTTCTGTCAATGTCTGATCAGCTGATTAGCAACCATATCAGACGCCCTCAGCTAGAGAGCTCCTACCATCTGACATTTAATTGCAGATTCTTTGCAACTGTAACCTTTCATTATAATTCATGCAGTTGAGTGAAGACAGAGGAGAAAGGGCAATGTTCATCCATCCAGTGGGTAATTAAGCATATAGATAAGAGATGATGAGGGACAGAGAAGGGGGAATAAAATGAAAGATAGGGAAGCTTAGCTTTTGATGATGAGGGATTACGTTTAGTTATGTGGGGGTTTACATATCAAAGTTCAGAAAAGTTTTTGTTTCACAGCATAATGAAGAAAACTAAGGGAAAATATCATTTTTTTCTAAACTTCAGCTGTTGCTGTACAATCATAAGGCATCAAGTAACCATATGTCCTTCATAATTGTACCTTCCTGCAAATACATCTATTTTAACGACAGTAGCTAATGGAGTTAATGTTGACATGCAACGCATTGTTTCCTTTACTTGGTGTTAGTACCAGTCCACTGCTGCTTTAGTGAATCTGTATTCAGTGATGTGTGAAGGTGGCAGTTACATCCTTTTAACACCTCTTAATATGTCTCTACAGACTCGTATTTTCACATTATTAATGGACTGTGATGGTATTAAGCAGAGATTCATAAGGTAAATAAGTGGAAAAAATATCACCAACATTTTTCTAAACTAAAGATGTCTTGCATAATGTTTGAAGACCTGAAGGTTATGAAGCTTTCAATGAAAACTTGAAGTGTAATTAGAAAATACATTCAAAAGTATAAATAATTACCACATTTAGGTAGTATAGGAAGTTTAGGTGTAGAAGACTTTTTTACCTCTGCTAAGGAGGTTATGATTTTGGTGCTATTTCTTTGTCTGTCAGCCGGATTACAGATAAACTACTGGCCCAATTTTTGTGAAAGGAAGGGTGTAGCATGGACCAAGAAAGAAAAATTACGGGGCGAATACACAGATTATTTTTCACTTTCGTTAACATTCTGATTGTCCACGGCAAAATTAACTGAATTCATCACGCATGAGCCATCCAGTCTTAACGTAAGTGAATGGTGTGCTGTAACTCAATATACAAGATAACATAGCAGCCACTTTAAATATCACCATACAAATAAAACACCTTGGCGGAGGTCTGCACTGTCCTACTAGTTTTTAATCTGTAAAATGTAAAAAAAAAAAAAAAACCTAATACTAACTACTGCTACTATTGAGAGAGACATAACATGGAAGTCTAAATGTCATTTATTAGCAATAACCTCAGAATGAAAACATTTGAAACTAGCAGTAAAGCACACACAGACAGAGCAAACAACATCTACTGTGGTCCTCCACAAAGCCATAGACACAAATAAAATATGAATAATAGAATTTAAAGTACCCCATTGCTGTAAATAACAACCAGAATTACCGTCATTGGCACACACAAAAACTCCCACAGACGGACTCTCTCCCTCACACAAACACACACACACACACGTGCACAAGCACTCACATGCACCGTGTTTTGCCTCAGTGGAAGCCATTATGCAAGAGACTAGAGTGACATTGGGACAAAAACAACCTCAGAATGAAAACAATGGTGTGTGATCACTCTGCCTCTTTACACGTCCCCCTACATTGGATACTCTGTCCTTTTCCCCCCTCCCTTGGATACTCTTTCCTTTTCCCCCCTCAATTCAAAGAACTAGCAATAAAATCACTTGCACATACACACTTGGGTAATCACAGAATTGCTTTCAGACGCATAACAACAGTAGCTGGTGATTCATATTACTGAGTAGTTGTTTACTGCTGCTCGAGTACAACAGGGTCCATCATCACTGCTGAAGCAAACATCATGCAGGCTACTACAGCTACTATAAACTACTACTGCTACCTATGGACCAATTCATACCCTGTATAATTTAAATTTTGGAGGAACATTCTCTATATATCATATAGTATAATTGTATTACCCATAACATGAACAGAAATACTATTATTAGTTTATCATTAATTAAATATCGGATAATAATTGTATTGTTTTGTATTATTGTATTATGTATTGTCTGTTGGTGCATTTAATAAACTTAACAAGAGTATTTTAAAACCTGCTGATTCAGTTATGCAAATATATTTGATATTCATGAAACAAAATTGGTGACTTTATAATAAAAACAGATCACACCATGAACATAAACATTCTCCTCTTTGCCTGCAATTGTCTTTTAAAGTCTAAGCTTCCAATTTGAGATTCTGGCCATGGAGTTCGAAAAGTTTGGAGAGACATGAGCAGGTTCAGTTGTTCTGACATCTAATGTTAATGGACAGTACCTGTATTCGCTGTCTGGCTGCAGGTCTGTGACAAGGTGACTTGTCCCTGATTCCACAGTAATGGTTTGGTCGTCCAGGGTGATGACGTAGGAGCTGATGTCTGCCCCATTGCTGTTTGGCTCGTCCCACTTCAGGAGGAGGCAGGTAGAAGGGGAGTGACCTGACTCTGAGGAGGTCGGGAGATCCAGGAGGGTGAGGGAGGAGACCGGGTCGGGATTTGTCGCCGGGGTCCGGAAACTCACCTGCTCGCTGTAAGGACCAGCACCTGCCTGATTCACCGCCTGAGTTGGACACAAGAGCACAGAGAGGGTGAGAGAGATGGAGAAGAGATGCAGGAATGTGAGGACAGAGAAGAGGTGAAGAGAGGGAAAAAAAGGAAGAGGATGAGCGGAGAGACAACACGACAGATAATGAAAAAAGGGAAGGAGAAAAAGGTTAAATAAACTGGCAGGAGATAGAGTAACACGGACAAAGAGCAAGAGAAAGTAAAACAGAGGGGAGAAAAAGACATGAAGAATGAAAGAGGACAAGAAAATCAGCAGAGGGAGAGGAATTCAAATTAGCTGCAAAAGAACGTTAGTCCATTTCTTGTGGTGTGTCACACATTTATATTCAACTCAAGTATCCTCTATCCTGAAACGGGGACAACATATAGCAGATATTTAAGAATACATCTGCTAGATTTTAACGGCTTTTTAAAAATAATTGGATTTCTTTAAATCTGACAGCAAAACGTGCACTTTTAATTTAACAAGCAAGACAAAACAAGCTGTCTGCGTGGAGTGATGGATTTATTGTAATTGTCAAAATTATACAGCACTTCCAAGAATGTTAGGAGTACTTATTTTTTCATGTAAAAATGTACTGTAACCACTTTTCAAGAAAAGCCTGGCAACATCAAGGTGACATGCACATCAAGGAGTAGAAGGCGTGTTTTGCATTCTGCTCTCCAAGTAAGTCTTGACTTACTACTTTATCTTGGCAGTAAACTATCTACATACGTTGAGGGTCCGACAAGAACATTTATATTTCAGTAGTATTTCTGATTTATCATCAATTGTCAAAGATGTTTTGGCGAAGCTTGAAAAACATAAAGGAATTTGAGGACCTCTTAATTTACCCTATCTTTGTGTGAGTCTGGCTATTTGAAGTGTTCACATAAAACAAGTGAATGTCAAGCTATAGTAGGTGAACCTGCACTGGATCATACAGGTACAGGACATAAGAAGTCACAGAGAGTTAAAGTAGAGTGTTCTTCTTAAGATGCACATCTGTCCTATTATTACACATATGAACACACACATGCTCACTACTACTGCACACAAACATGAAAATCACACACACACACAAAAGCATTGATTAGGACGCTCAGATGACCTTGTGCTGTCCTCTAAACTATAAACGAGCCCATAAAGAAGTGAGCCGTAAAACATGCTGTTATTGGATTCATAGCTTCAGAGGGTACATCAGGAGAGAAGGCTGAGAAAGAGAGATGATTTGTGTGTGTGTGTGTGTGTGTGTGTGTTGTGTGTTGTGTGTGTGTGTGTGTGTGTGCACTTATTTATGCACAAGATTAAGAGTAAGAACGCAAATAAAAACAATTATCATCAACCTTTCGCTGGTTTCTGTTTATCAGTGCATGTTTCTTGATTTTGAAGCTCCCTTGGCTGATATTTGTATGCAAGTGTAGTGTATTTGTCTGTGTCTTGAATAAGTCTCTGGCATGCTTGCAACTGTTTCTCTGTGTATGTTTGTGTGTGTCTAGTATAGTTCATGTGCTTTCTGCGATTTCTTGTAAGCAAACATTTCTGTGTGCCTGTGCATGGATGTGTTAATTGTACATGTATTTCACCTATTCCATAAGTAGGTTTGAGCGTATGTCTAATGTGTTACCTGTAGCCTGCAGCAGTAGTCTGTGGCAGGCGTCAGGTCCGACAGTTCACACTGTGTGGCAGATCCACAGTAGATCAGCTCCATGGGTTCGTCTTCCCTCGCCCACTCCAAACGATACTCAGAGATGTCTGTACCCGAACCCTCGGGACTCTGCAACACACAAAAACCCAACTTCACTCACGGAATGGAAAGTTTTAATTTTTTTTAAAAAAACTGCCACATATTGAGAAATACAGTGCCACAACAAAGAAGGCCAAAGGGACAGGGACAGGCTTTATTGAATTCAAGATACAACACCAGAGACTTTTTCTTCAATTTGGATACATCATCCAGGGGAATTGGATTGCTATGAACAACAGTCTCCTGGGTTTTCTTGTTCATAACAGCCCAGACAGCCAAATTTAAAGTGGCAGGTTTATAGGTCAGTAGAACCAGAAAAAGGAATATTGGGCCTCTTTAGACAGCTTTATGAAATGTGGCCAGTCTTTGCGGATAAAAGTGGTTCTTTCTTTTAATTAACACATAGCGTATTGTTTGTCTCACCTCCCAGTTGAGCGTTACGCAAGTGTTGCTGGTGAGATTGATGAGTGGCGCCCCGCACTGGCCAGGAGGACCTGCTGCAGTCGTCACCTCTGTTGGCTCAGAGTACGCTCCGAACTAAAAAGAAATAGACACCAGACTTGCAATGAGACATGTGTTGGAGGAGGAGGAGGCAGCGCAAATCGCACCAGGTTACCTGTGCATGTGTGTGCGCATGAGTTTTTGTGCAAGCAGCAGTGCTGTCTTTTTTTTTGGTGCCCTCTCTGTTCTCCCTATTTTTAAGCATGTGCACTGTGTTTGTGGCTGTGTCTGATCAGTAAGTCTGAGTGCTTGTTCACTCTTGAGTGTGTGGATGATCAAACCAATCAGATGTTGGCTTCAGACTGTGCAACACCGCTGCATTAACCCACGGATGCTGTTAGTCTGTCTGGGACACTCTGACCTAATAGATAATGGCCTTTTGTCCATGTTTGTCTGTGTTTGTGGCTACAATAAAAAAAACATTTGAATTAAGTTTTTTTTAATATTTGGATCATATCAAGAGTTTCCACAGTACATGTACTTAGCGTGCAGAGTAGATTTCAAGGCCATAAGAGCCATTAAACACAGAATTTAATGCTGGTCAAGCACAAAATTTGAATTCAGTGAAGTACATTGTTGTGGTCTTGAATGGCAAATTGCTGGCTGATGGGCTTTCTATTTATTTTTTTGTTATTTCTGATCATATTCCTGCTGCGTGTGCATGTGAATTTCTCACCCCAGCCTCATTGGCAGCCCTCAGTCGGAAGCTGTATGTGGCACCAGGTAGCAGACTACCAACGGTGCATTGCAGCTCTGACCCATGGTAAACCTCTGCTGGCCTGGTGTCCCCCTCACTCATCTCCAGGCTAAACACACACTCCTCACATACTCCATCAGATACAGGAGGATCTATGGGGCCACAGAGAAAGAGAAAGACAGAGAGGAGAGAGAGAGAGAATTATGCATCAAAATCATGTGTGATGGAAAGACACAACCTATATGGTACGATGCCTTTTAATACACAGACTTTTACAGAGATTTACTCAATATGATGTTAAGTTTTATATGAATATGTGTGTTTACAGATCAATTAACCAGGTAAATTTCTGAGTCACTTCTGAGGGGTTCTTCCCTCCAACAGCTGCTTCACTTCACTTCACTTCACCGGCTGCAGTATGGTTAAAGTAATAAATGACGGAGACAGTGGGGAAAACCCTCCAATGCATTATGTCTGACCTTCAACTCGAGCCAGTAATTGCAGCAGCACTGCCTGAATTTGAGCTGATTAGGACTGTGGCCAGCTGTATTAGACTGGTTAAAACAAGAACTTCCTCAGCGTTTCAGGCTGGGAGACTTTTGCCTGCCAACAGATAACAGTACTAATTTGCAATAATGGGCTGACATTAGGAGAGTCAAGTCAGATATGAGGCTAGGTTAGGCCTTTAATGGGCTAAATTAGGGCTCATTTAGGCTGAAACATGGTTGACTGAGGTTACATTAGAGTTGGCCAGGGAAACATATTAAGCAGCCAAAGGGTGATTTAGCCTTCCTTACATAAAAAAATTCAAATACATTCTGGTAAATAAAGCTAAACACAGTGTGCGTGTATGTCTGCACTCACCCCATTCTAACTGCACTTCCTTGTGTTTGGCTTTACCCACAATCCTCGGCGGCTGGCATGGCCCTGGCGGGACGCTTAATGTACGGACCGGAACACCGACAGTGCACTTCAGTGATAAACACAGGAAAATAAAACATAAGAGAACTACAGTTACATATCAGTTTGATGAATTACTGGCAGAAATATGAATTACACTTAGGTATTTTGTTGATAATGGGTGAGCAGATTGTAGATTTTCCCACATTTTACTATATGAGCAACACTGGTGCATCACTGTTGAATTACACCTAACTCAAGAACTGTTTGTGAAAATTGAAAGTTACCACTCTGAAGTTGTTTTTGTGTATGTGTGTGTCTTACAGGGCTGTGTCCTCCGGTGGTGATGCTACACACACGTAGGCGGTAGAAGGTCCCAGGTGTCAGGTGCTCACACACACATTCTGTTGCTGGACCACTGTACGCTACATCCCACTGGCTCGCTGGAGACACACACAAATTAACACAATTACACAACTGATCACATACATGAGCATTTATAGAATCATCTCCTCTTTCATATGTATGCTGCAGTCGACCTATTGGTATTCTAAATAACACAGTGACCTAATTAATACCTTCTCGCTACTTTATGTAACAGTTTTTGTTCTGTTGATGGACAGTGTAGGCATATGAAATTAGTCTGCCTGCAAATCAGCACTATTGCTATGCAAATATAGGTCCTGTTTACACCACTGCATGGAAAGCAATTTTGCAGCAGAAGGGGCATATACTGTGACTATGTAATGCTTGAGACTACAACATGAAGTGGAGTTCAAGAAAACTTCCATGCGCTGCACCTCAAAAAGACAGTGTTTCACAGCAGTAACCTACAAGGAATTACAGCAGACACGATGTAGACGACATGATATGAGTCAGGACCATGAGTTCAGTACTGGTGCAACTTAGTGAGCCAAATCAAATCAAATTAAATCAACTTTATTGTCACATATACAATCTCTCCTCTCATTATCAATGAAAGAAAAACATCAGCTTTTGATATTCTTCGGTTCTTTGACATTCAACACTAGTCTCGAGTAACACTCTCTCTGTGATTGAATGAATGCAAACTGAAGAAATGAAACAAGAGAACATTTGGTTTCCTGGAGTAAAGATCTGAAATCTAAACAATGCTGTGAGCTAAACTGATGCTAAGAGGGAGTCAATTATGGCAGCTATCCTTCATAAAGACAGTAAGTGAGGAAAATGGATGCATAGAGAGAAGGGGCACAAAGGACTGATGGTACATTTTGAGCTTTGTTTTATAAAATCATAGACTTGAGAACAAACTCGCAAATTAGCTGAATGTGTGGCATGGATAGATGGATGAATGGACTGACAGATGTAAAACGTACCTTCAGAGCACCCCTCTGAGATCTCTAGCAGGTACGTAAGAGCCTCTGAGCCCCCATTGTCCTGGGGAGGATCTGTTGCAGGAATAAATTGATTCATTTTAGTTTTATATCCCGCGTAAACACTATGAGCTGCGCAACAAAAACAGGTTAAATTTTCAACATGGCCTTAAGGTTTCAGGAAAAGGTGTGAAATGAAAAAAATACACATTCATAAGTCATCTGCTGAGACTTTTCATGACAATTAGCATCCTCAGTATTGTATAATGTCTTCCAGCCTGAAGACATTAATGCAGTGCAGCTACCTCACTTTGAAATGGTCAAGCTGTAGCAGCTAGCGCAGAAATCACACTACTTACAACATAATAAAGGCAACTGTTTATCACTCAAAAAAAAAATCAATGATCTGAAAAGACGTGAGAGACATACAGTGAGATCTGTGCCATGTTTACAACATGTGAGAAAGGACAGGCTGCCCTTACTCCTGCAGTACTAATGCAGGACAGATGGATGATAGCAGTCCTGATGGCTTTTATGGCTGCTACCTCAGTTTCATGATAACACCTCAGAGGCAGCAGTTCATTAACGATTTTCCTACATTTTAACAATATTATGTATTCTGTAACGATGTCTGCTAGATGCAAGGTTTTAATTTTCAAGTGGAATTTTACAGTGTTTACAGTTTACATTGAACACTAGCATTGTTAACATTATTACCACTTTAAAATGAGTACACTTGCTGTACTTAACACCAGAAAATCTTAAAACTTATTCATTTAGGAAATTGTGAGCCCTTGGCTTTCTTGTTTTCAGAGTTAACTAATGGACTAAAGCAAACGTGTGAAACTATGTTAAGTATCTCAGCAATCTCAGCAATCAATCAACCAAGTGACTAAAACACATGATGGTTAAAACTAGTCCAACTAGTCTTTACCCCATGTGACGGTAAATCCGTAGGGCGTCGCTGCGGTGACACAGGGTGTAGATGGTGGGCCGGGTTTGTCTGGATTGGTGGTGCACACCAACACTTCACTGGGACTGCTCTTTCCCTCCATGTTCGATGCTATGAGCTGTCGGGAGGAAAATGGACATAATGGAGGGTTAAAAAAAGGAGAGTGTAAGGCAAACAAATTGAAATGGGCAGAGAGGAGCCAAAAGAAAAGGTGAGGAAGAGGTTGACAGGAGTACAAGATGCAGTGGATGGTATGGCAGAAAGGAATAGGATAAAAGAAGAAACAAAATGAGCAAAGATGGAGTGTTAGAGAAATAGGAAGCACTGTGAGCACGGTTGGATGAGAGAAGAGAACATCAAGAAGTAAAGGAACTGTCCTGATTAATAGGAGCCATTACTCTCTGCTCCTTCATCTATGGCTCTCCTGGTTCTTCCTCCTTCATTTCTCTTCAGTTTACTCCCTCCATTACCCCATCCAATGGACAATCAATTTGCCTTGTTCTCAGAATGTTCACACCGGACGAACATCACAAAGAACACATAGGTGTCTCTTTGTTTTTGAGCATGTGTGTGTTTGTGTCTTTAAACATCTACCACCTCATGTGCACATGTGTGAAAGTACATGAAAGGTGTTTGAAATGATTGCACCATAATACACTGTTAATGACAAGACACGAGTACCTGCATTAATACACAAGCAAACACACTTACAGAGATCTACTGCCGGTACATTTTGTTTCACAATGTCCTCACATTATGAATAGCCATTACAGCTTTTAGTAGAGCCGGATAGCGTTCTCTACCTGCTAAATGGCTGGTGAATTGCCTTGTTTCACTACTGGTTAAATTGCAGCCAATACTCTGGTGGTAAAATACTGTATTCCTTCCTAGATTGAAAGATGTTGTATGAAGACATTTAGATAGGTTGGTATCATTGACAACATTATTTACATTTAACAGAAGGAAAACATCACTGACTGACTGGAAATTTAAACTTTACTCAAGAGTGAAATCAAACAAGTCTAGGTCAAACGGTATACACAGCTAAGCTTTTCAGTGGTTTGCTTTAATCTGCTTTGAACACCATAACAGCACATCCTAGTCATCTCAAGCACCAAAGCAGCTAATGCTAATAATGCTAATTATTGTCCATTTCTATCATTCTGACACATATGCACACACCAAAGAAACAAACATTTGCTTTCTTGAGAGCAAGCTGAGAAGACTGACTCATGTCTGTGTGGTAAATATGAAGTTACAGCAAGCAGACAGTTAGTTTAGCTTAGCACAAAGACCGGAATCCCACAAACAAATGACAACAAGACTACAGCCGTGTCCTCCTAGTTCCAGCATTTAAACAATGCCAGGCTAACTGAGCTAAGAAAGTGAAGTCCTTTTGCATTACCCCAAAATGTCAGACTAAATATATATGTTGTATTTTGTATATTGTATATATATATATATATATATATATATATATATATATATATATACAAACAACTTTGTGTGTATGCAGAATATCCTTCTGATAATCTGCATACACACACAGAGGCAAGACTGCAGAAAAACACACACAGCAGCATCTACATCACATCGTGACTTACCCTGAATTTATACTGTGTACTCCTCTTCAGGCCTTGTACAGTACAGGTCAAGTTTTCTCCAGTGTACTTTGGATGAAAGTCTGTTCCCTGTAGGTGATACACTGTCAGTAGTCTGTGTGTGTTTCTTCTTTTCCATCTATTAGCATTTGTGTACATTCTTGAGCATGTGGATGCAATAAATACTGACTTTTGCATTATATGTGTGTGTGTGTGTGAGGGAGTGAAGCAGTGTGTGGGAGCAATTCCCTTTTTATGTTTATGTGCTGAATATGCATATGGTATGTGTTTCTATGTGTATGCTTGTGTATTATAGGATTTACTGCTCTGTGCATCTGCTGTACATTTCCCCAAACTATTGTGCAATGCATTATGCATGTAATTTTAAATATTTTCTCATAATGTACTTTTAGAGATTTTTTATTCCCCTCTTTATCTTCCTGTGGGATCCAAGTAACTAAGCTCAATCAAATCACACAAAAAAGAAAAAGTTTCACAAAAACAAATTAAGGTTTTATGTTTAGTATGGGGGATTGTGTAGCTCCTGCCATCGTTCAAATATATGAGGGCTGTTTTTAATGTATTGGAAAAGAACCAGTGCCAGTAATATAAACTTTAGAAATGTTTTCATATAATATGTCTGCGTGGTACTCACGCTGTTGTCCTCCTGGATCTCAAGTGTGTATTTGAGCTGCTCCTCACTCGGACTGCCCTCCGGACGCCCCCACTCCAGAGTCACCCAGGACACCCCCGCCCTGACCAGCCGTGGTGCCAGGGGCAGAGCAGGCAGGGTGCCCATGGTGTAAAACACCACCTCTGTGCTGAAGCCACTGCACATAACACAAAAACATTTACATTTCATTCACATTTTTGATTTTATTCAAACTGCAGAAGCAAATTATTGACTTGTTGGATCATTACTTTTGAGGGAAAAGGGGCCGCAGTGCAAGAGGAAAGGGAAGCTGTGCATCATGAATTACAAATTCAGCAGAGACAGAGGCACATTTTTGAAAAGTGAAAGGAGAGGAAAACATGAATAAGAAAGGACACTGACATCACTGCTCGTTTGAAGGGAGTGCAGGGGTTGCAGTTTCTAGTGGAAAAGAAGCAGAAGAGCGGCGACTGGGGTAAAATAGTATGTCAGATCACAGGCACAAAAGACGACAGGGGGTGTGGGGGTAGGGGGTTGAACATGAATTTAAATGTATAACCAGCAGCAGAAATGGGAGAGGTTGTAAAACTTTTTTCTAGTAAGAAAAATAGCAAGTAAGCAAAAGCTTGTGTGTGCCGAGTATTTGTGCGTGTATGTGTGTCCATATGGCTTCAAAGGGGAATCAAGGCGAGGGATGCATTAGGGCCGCTTTGAGTTTAGCCAGAGAGCTAATATCTCCTCCCTCGCACTCACTGCCCTCTATCACCCCCTCCCTTCTCCCTGTCACCCTAACGACTGCTGGCGAGATGCTCCCCGCCATAATGACAAAAAGGAAACAAGAGGAGAGGGGAAATGGAGGGAAAATGAGAAAGCGGAAGATGACTCATGTCACATGCAGAATAATAGCCACAGATGTTCTGGTGGTACATGTCTGTGTGCGTCTGTCCATCATTATGGAGGTTTACGCATTTATTCCGACATAAAAATGTATGTTGTGGCTGACACCGATACAATTTGCTCCCATAAGTATAAGTGTGGTATGTGGTTAAAGACTTTGCATCATATTAAGGACAACATGTCAGGTCCTCTATGTGAAAAGCTGCCATGCATTTTAATAAATCTGTGCTCCTATAGCATAAGAACAAGGAACAAGAAAGAGTTATGGCATATGCCTTCTGTGCTATTTATGATGATGTGTGCATGAATACATTTTTGGGTGTTTGTGTGTGAAGCAAACGTGCTTGTGCATTCAGTAATAGGTAACAGTACCTTCTGCCAATGTCGTTGTGTGCAGCCACTCTGAACGTGTAGCCACAGGCGGGGTACAGTCGTGTCAGCTTACAGTGTCTCTGGCTCCCAAAGTAACATTCTCTGAAAACACTGTTCTTCTTTCCCTGCAGAGGAGAGAGATGGATGCACAGACAGAAAAGTCAAGACAAGACCAGGAGGATACAATTAATTTCATTTGAGGATTAAAGAAAAGAATGAAAAGATTTTTTTTTAAAAGCATGACAGTAAGTGAAAAAGTACGATAAAAGGAGAGGGAAAGCAGGGGCCAAAATGGCATGATTTACAGTTTTATTACATCTCGTCTGAAGAAGAGACGAATGTTAACATCCATTTAGTGACACCTGTTAGTGCTTTTTTTTTAAATAAGGATAAAGCATGACAGATAATGGACATCAAAAGTGACAAACAGACTTACCTCATCCCACTCGAGCAGGTAGTTTGTGATTTTGGATCCGTTGTCGCCTGGGGGCTGTAGACCGACAGGGAAATTGGCCAAGTGAGGCAGACAAGAGAGAGACAGAGATTAGCCGAATATAAAAGACTCTGACACAGAGACTGACAAAACACCTGCCGTGTTTTTATGATTGGCCTCATATCCTGTCTGGGTGAATGAAGTCACTCTTTATCAGTGGCAGTGAGAGTGGATAAAAATTACTTGTGCAGAAAAGGTCAGAGAGGGCAGAGGGATGCGCCTTGAAGGCATTGTGCAACAATGCAAGAATGTCTCGCTATGAGGTGCTTTAGGGCTGAAAAAGTCAAGATAGGACATAAACAAGGGAAAACGTATTGTGCACTTTCATCGAAAAATAGAGGTTATTGCCAAGTGTATCGCTCTACAAATCCAGTGTAGTAGACACAGAAACATGAAATTTGACACAAAAAACCCTTAGTCTCCTATAGTATGGTAGCATTATAATTCTTTATAATAAGCTAATTTCAAATGTGCCATTAAAACTAACAGTAACATCATAATGTTATGTCACGGTGACATTTCTGTATGAGCTGTGAGATAAGTCCAAACATGAAGATGTCTGTGCCCATACCTTCCACTGTAGGGTGAGGGTGCTCTTGGTGCGGTGGGAGAGTTTTGGGGATAATGGTACGTCGGGGATGCTGCAGTGTGTGGTGAACAAGCCGGCCTCTGAACACGGGCCCCGAACAGAGTTGTACATCGCAGACACCCTTAAGAAAACACACAAAACAACAAATGTTCAAAAATGTGGCTAGATGAAGGTAGAATCTTTATATAGGGAAAACTCACACGCAAAACATATTGTAGGAATGCAACAAAATGTCGAAATCCTTACCGTACGTGGTAGTCTGTCGCTGGCCTTAGGTCTTTCAGATGGTACTCCAGTTCTTCGCCACTGCAACACGCACACAAACAAAGCACAAAATTCACACCGGCATACTTGTGTATTTGATGCTACATTCTTTTAGCTTGGAGTGTGTTTCCTACCTGTAAATAAGGCGATACTTTCCGTCTCGTCCCTTATCTGAGAGAGAGACCTCGAAGGAGCAGGACACAGGCATCCCGTTACCATGCCTGTTCACCAGCCCTGCCGGGGGGGCCCAGGACAGTCTTGCAGCCCGCGCCTGCACATTGGACACCTGAAAAACATGCATAAACATATATACCGTATGTTATATACACAATGAAGCCAAGCACAGTTACACATGCACAAAATGTTCCCATGCATGTAATGTGGCCTTTGGTTAGCAGACAGGACAATTCATTTAATATATTTTCATTTGTAAGAGATCCTTTCTATTCTATTCAGTTCTAGGCGGCAGTAATTCTACCCTCATGTTCTATTAAGGTGTTTTACTATAATTATAATAATAATTTGAATGTGCATCTACGTTTTTGTCAGCGTGTTTGACAATGTGTCACTGAAACGATTACTCCAGATTCAGCTGCTCTTTTTTAGCTCAGGCACATCCATGCTGGGAACGCAGCAAAGAATTAAAATTAGCAAACATGAGAAAGAGGCCTGCATAGTTGTGTGTTTAACTGTGTGCCCGTCTGTGTGACTGCAAGTGCATGCTTGTTTATGGGAGATTTAGTTGCGGCACATGGTGGGTGAGCCAATTTAGCGTGATTTAGCACAGTCTGCCGCTATTCCAGACTCCACATCCACTGAATAGGCGATGAATGTACCTTGAGGGCACTGCAAACCACAACCATGCCTAGACAGTGTATGAGGAAGACAGACAGACAGACAAACAGGAAAAAATGGAAAGACAGACTTGAATGCCTTTTCAATTAAGGTTTTGTTCTGTTCTGTTTGATTTTATGAGCTCACATCACTCTGTCCACATGTCTGAGAACGGCTTTGATGGGAATTTATCCTCAACTAAGAACACATTTCCCACTCATTCTATCAATCACTTTTTTTATATGTACACTGATACATGATGCCAAGGGTTCCATGTAATGAATGACCTGATGATGAATACAACAGCTTGATGTGGGAACAGCAACAGAGAAAAAGACGAGACCAGACAAAGTGACAGAAAACAAAAAGACAAAGGGTACAAAGAAACAAAAATGAACAAGAAATGAATAGAAAAAAGCATGAGATAAAGAATGAAGGGGTCGGTTCAGAGGGTCCATTTAGTCTGTGGTCCTCTTGCCCTCTGATCCTAAGAGAGAGCCTGTTGGTCATCTACGCTAAGGCCACAGAATGTGAGGTGGTGAGAATCTACTGTATATTGATCATCAGTCCTCGTCTTCACTGTTCACTGTTTGCATGAAAATACATTTCTGTCTGAACTGAACTTTCAGTCCATCTCTCTTATGCTTACGTATTCATACAATAGCTGCATTCATGTACATGCACAGCTTGAGTAATCACAATGAGAGTTACTTGATGCTATAAAATGAAATTTTTATTCTCATAATAGAAGGACGTTTAAAAATAATTTAAAATCCAACTATGACTCTATATTAGAGTTTTCGTCACATTTTGTGACATGCCTGCAACAATCAGGTTGACAATGCACAGCAAAGATGTTCAGCTGAAAAAGGCACCGTCTATTATTTGGTTACAAACTTTTAAAAAAAAATACATCTTTGTGCACCCTGTATTATGTTGTTAACACACAGCTTTATTTGCAGAATCTGTCACACTGTTCCTTGTTAAATTGATTTCATGTCTTTTAACCAATATCCATAAATCTAACAAGACAAGAATTTACCATCTATTTCATAGCACAATATGATTGGTTTGGGGATTTTAAAAATTTATAGGTAAACAGCACATAATATATGTTAGGCTAACTCAAAAGCTGAATGAGAAAAGCATCTCTGGTGACAGATGTGTCCTTCTCATTGCAGAGGGGTGAGTGTGTACCACAATTTACTTTTTATTTTACAAACTGTTCCTTAAGCCCAATGCCCGCAGCTGTTACTAAGATTTACATTCAGCAGTGGATGGCTGATGGGTGGGGACCAGTTTTTAACATAATTTGGGGGCAGCGTTTAATCAGTCTATGCGCCATAGAAAGGGAATATGAATACTAATGTCTAATAAGCAACCTGCATAAACATTTTAATTGGTGTGATGCCTTACTGAGAATACTGGCCACAATCGAATCGTCACATGCATGTAAATGTAGCCTGTACTATTATAAGCTCTGAGGCCTTTGAAGTGAAAAGTGGTGCTGCTACATCTTTCTTCAAGCACAAATACTAAAAAAGTACAAAAAAAAAAAAGGATAGGGAGAATTACTATTTCCAATTCAGCTGAAGAAAATCCTGTTTATTTCTATGAAAGCAAACAATACGAGCAGAGGAACACGGCAATATTGTGAACATTTTTAAATGAAGAACTTTCTCATATAAGCTCTGCCTCTGCAACACCTGCTACATTGTCTGTATAGAACACAGCTGAATCCATCAAGAGGCACACTTGCTGTCGCAATAGGACTGTAAAACTGTCTGTCCCTATATATATTAAAAACCAAACTACTGCCTCTTAAAGAAATGCATTACGGTAAAGGTCAAAAGTGGCAGAAAATCACATCTGTAGTTAATGGAAAAATTGCAATCAATGACACAAGGAGATCCCAGAATTGTCCTTGTTGTCCTTACCTTTTCTTTATCTGCCATAATAAACTTGCTGTATCAGTGAAGAAGTGATTTGAAGTTATAAGAGCAAATAAATCACTGCTGTGCATCGGCTTTAAATCTCCTGAATTTCATGTCTTCCATTCCCCCTTTTTACACTCCATTTTCCCTTTCTTTCATCACTTCATTCTCTCGTCTATTTGAACCCATGTCATAAACTCACGGATATCAAATGATCCAATTGCACTGCCTGCTGACCAAACTACTTTAACCAGGAGTGAGCAATTCCTCTCTCCCAAACTGTGTCTGCACGGCTCCAACTCATTCATTCACATTCCCCTTAGGAGAGCAGAGAAAGCTGTTTGGTGTTTACAGTTTTTAACATGATAAAGGGATAAAGTGGGAAAACTGATAGCATGGATGAGTAGATGCTGCCCTCATGTGGCCAGGGTGAGCAGAGCTTAAATGATCACTTAACTTCCCGTGACTGCTATTAAAGCCCTGAAAATGACTTCAAAAAGATACACTGCATACACAAGACACTACAGTTATTATTGTCAGTGTAAGCATCTAATTTTTTATCTTAATCACAAAGACGGAGGATAGATGACTGATGAAAATATGGAAAAGACATCAACGCTTATGCCAGCTATGACTGCATCCGACAACAGATGATTGATGAAAGCGGTTATAAGCGAGTCGGGTTTGTGTGTCTGTGTGTGCGTGCAGCTGTGGGAGGAGGTATGCATACCAACCTGTGGTTTGTCGATTGTAGACAGCATGTCTTGAACACGCTTCCCCTCTGAATCATGATCTGAGGAGACAGACAGAGAAAAAAGACTAATTATCAAAAATCCACTCAAGGAGGGTTTTTTAAAATGTAATATTCAGCAAAAAAGAGAGACTGGCAATGCAGGTGTGAGAGGGATCATGGGGGTATACATGTCCGGTCATAACTGCAATCTGTGTGCACAAATCATACATTTCTACATTTTATTCTGACTCATGACTTTATTTAAATGTAAAAAAACAACAATCCCAAGTTTCAAAACAGATGCACATTAGCAATATTGGCAGTGCTCATGAACCAGGCTGTTGATTGACAAGAAGATGGGTGTTCAATTCCCACAAGCCATGTTATTGTGATATCTAGAAATAGATGACTCCAAGGTCAGCCAAGGTTTGTATCTAGATTGAGAAATTGTAGGGGTGGAAAAGTGAGATAAAATGCATTGTGACTCCATAATCATCACTGACATTGTCTGTGAAAATATTCTATCCAAATAGCAACGGAAATAGCCCAAAAAATTGTGTAAAAACAGAGCAAAATGCTAAAATAAAGAGTTGTCTAATGGTGTGTGATGCAACACTTGTTTTCTTCAGCAATCCCCTATTTCATCTCATCAAGTCAGGATGAACACATCCCTTGGAAAAAAAACACTAAATTACCCAGTGTTCCACAGAAAGGCATTAGTCACGAATTCCTAACAGAGTAAATAAAACGGGGATCACCGAAAAGACACAATATATGACTCATATTCCATTGCGAGTATTCTGTTCTGAACATAGAAACTGTTATTATATTGGAGGCATTAGTTCACAGAAATCATTATCCTAATCATGATTATGAATCATTTGCAATCGATTGTCCCTACAACTATTTATCCATAGAATGATTTGACGTCAGCAGTGTTGTTGTAGCCCCGCACAGCCTTACAGCCTGTTACCGAATACAATGCCATATGTATATAATGACTGTGTTGCTATAAGGCTGCTGCTGATCCTATAACTCTACAAGCCTACAAAGAAAACAGGGAAAAGATATTTCTCTCAGACACACTTTAAGTCTTTTTTTTTTTTCAGTTTAATTTATTTTGACTTGATTTGATTGTTGACACAGATGCCATACAATATGATAGACCAGATATACTGTAGCTGCTCATTCTACATGGTCCCCAGAAAGAGGCTCCACATAGCTTATTGTGTGAAAGAAAGAACCTTCCAGAAAATCTCTTTAATATGCTAAGAACAAGTGTAATCACAATGCAGATTTTTTGGCAGAGTAGAAAAAGGACATTTACTTATACAGAAATGGTGTGGATTATTAATATACAGTGTATTATATGTATTATGTTAGGTTAAGGTAATTCCTGCTGAAACCATTGATTAGTTGAATTCAATCAATTACCAATTTAAGCAGTTTTTGCTGTTTTTCTCAGGCTCTAAGATTGAGAGTAGCATTTTTTGTCCGACATCTCGCAGATTGTATTACTAATCAGTTAATTGGAAAAATAATCAAAACATCAATCGATAACAAAAAAGAATCCTTAGTTGTAGCCCTAAAGTTAATAAAGTCCACTTATTAGCCATAAAAAAAACACTGCTGTTATTTCTACTCTACCAGCTGACACACACACACACACACACACACACACACACGTAGCAAAAAACATATGTACACAAACACATGCATATACGGGGTCTGGTCCAGTGATACGATGTGTCTAAAGGTAATTTATCGGACACCCGGGGTTGTTAGAAGGGCGAGTGCAAGTGAGTGTGTGTGTGTACACATGTGTAGGTAATGGAAGTCTTTCCCCCCTGTGTGATCCCCACAGTTGAGGTTTTTCCGACCAGAGGAGGCCTGCTTTCTCCATCTGAGCCTGACCACTGTAAATCACACAGGATGTGTGTGCGTGTGTGTGTTTGTGTGTGTTTGTGTGTGTTTGTGAGGGTCAGCAATACAAAATGTGCATGAAACCATGTCTGTTTGATGAGTGTGTTACAGGACTGAGGAGGACTTGCATCAAATAAGCCTATACACACCTACACAGCATACTTGTGTAAAAAGCATTGTATACTTACAACAAGTGATGAATAGGAGATGTGTGTGTGTGTGTG